CCTGGGCGATGCTCTATCTTTATGTCATAGGTGCTAATAACCTCCAGCCATCTTGTCAATTGTCCCTCTGGGTTCTTGAAGTTGAGTAGCCACCTAAGAGATCCGTGGTCTGTTCTAAGTAGGAATTGTCTTCCGTACAGATAATGGAGAAAGTGTTTTATAAAGTGTACGACAGCCAATAACTCTTTCCTTGTCACACAGTATCGTTTCTCTGCGTTTGTTAATGTGCGGCTAGCATAAGCTATCACTCGTTCTTTTCCCCATATTTCTTGGGAAAGCACGGCCTATAGAGTGATTGCTCGCGTTCGTGTCCAGAATGAAAAGTGAAGATACGTCTGGTAGTGCCAATATCGGCGCTGAGATCAATCTGTTCCGAAGAGTTTCAAAAGCATCCTGTGCCTCTTCTGTCCATTGAAACTTACGCCCTTTCTCTGTAAGACGGTGCAAAGGTTTTGCTTCCATAGCAAAATCTTTAATAAAACGTCTATAATAACTGCAAAACCCGAGGAAGGAACAAACATCGGATACGCTTGAAGGTACAGGCCATTCAGCAACAGCTTTAATCTTTTCTGGGTCTGTCGCAATGCCTTCTTTCGAAATGATGTGACCTAAGTATGAGACTTTGGTGGCAAACAGGTGATACTTTCTTGCTCTAAACTTTAGACCTGCCCCTTGCAGTCTATCAAAAACCTTTTCAAGATTGCTGAGCATATCTTCGAATGGTTTTCCAATTACTATTATATCATCGAGATATACCAGGCATATATCCCACTGGAGACCTGCAAGAACCGTTTCCATCAAACGTTCAAAGGTTGCAGGCGCACATGTAAGACCAAAAGGCATCACCTTAAACTGAAAAAGACCTTTGAGTGTTACAAAAGCTGTTTTACTCTTGTCCTCATCCTCCATGGCAACTTGCCAGTATCTGCTATTGAGGTCTAGCGTAGAGAATAAGGCATGTCCGGACAGGTGGTCAAATGCTTCTTCTATATTTGGGAGGGGATATGCGTCCTTTACTGTTACTGCATTTAGTCGCCTATAATCAATATAGAAGCGTATCGACCCATCTTTCTTACGCACCAGAACTACAGGCGAAGCCCAAGGGCTATTTGAGGGTTCTATTACGTCTTTTTCAATCATTTCATTCACCTGTTTATCAACTTCTTGTAACATATGTAACGGGATTCTCCGTGCTCCTTGCTTAATGGGTTTCTCTGTAGGGTTAGTTTGGATTCTGAGTTTAACAACTGTAGTTCGACCCAGATCAAAATTTGAAGTTGCAAACAAATGTTAATATCTATGCAAGAATTTTTCAGCTTGCAAGGCTTGTGCATTAGAAAGAGTTTTCTTAAATCTGCCCAGTAACTCTTGAACGTCAGATCGGAGTCCTACGTTCTTTTCTCTTGATGTCCCTTGTGTTTTCCCTTCATCTGCAGCTGTCATTCTCGCAATCGTTGTTCCTTTATATATCTGTTGGGCTACATCTGTAATATTCATAAGTCGCACAGGCACAGTTTCGCCACCTTTTACAAATGTTCGGCCAACCAGCGCACGACCCTTCTCCAGAAATTTTGCCTCTGGCTCGACTATGTAGTCCGAGCCTCCAAATGTATTCTGCCCTGGAATTTTAGCCGCAGTAACTACTTCACTCCTAGGGGGAATAAAAATGTCATCAGCTGCGATGAAACGGTAACAACCTATGGTTCCTTCACAAGAAATGCGGTAGTCCTTATTGTTTAGTCTCAGCGTGTTATTGTTGAGATATAGGCCCTGAGTGCCGAGCATAGGCCTAAATTTACAGCCCTTTGCTGGCAATGGTAACGTCTCCATATCAGTGAAATATTCTGGAGTGGGACGTTAAACAGTATACAATCAATCAATCACATAATACCACTACCTTTCTTCAAAAAGTCTAGGCCAAGGATACCATCTACTGTGATGTCTATTACCATAGCTGGAATAATTGTTTTAAATTGCCCTACTCGGATCTGAAAATCTGCTTTTCCATAATGTGAAAGTGCATTTCCATTTGCGTTTAAAACTTTCTGTGCACTGTTTTCTAATTCAGGTCGCTTTTCTTGCGTTATCATATCATGCACCCTTCTTGAGACTAATGTCAATGAAGCTCCTGTATCGCTTAACAGTTTTGCACGTGTACCATTAACCTCTGCCTCAATAAAAATTCCAGCCTCAGTACTCATGGTGCTTCCACCTACGTGTCCTTGCATCCTACGTTGATTTCTCCGGCGCTTACTACGGATTCGCCGCGCATTCCCACTAGTTAAGCTCTTTGATAGGGTATTAGTGTTTTTATTTGTGTCTTTATTTTTAAGTTTAGGACAATTCCGACGAATATGTCCCTTTTCCTTGCAATAATAACAAATCACTCCATCACTTGTTTTCTTGTCTGTCAACTGCGATGTGTATTTCCTTGGTCTCCAGTTTTGATCTCGGACCTGTTTTTCTAATCTATCCAACTGGGTTTGCATCTTTGTCATCATATCTACTAGTTCTAATGGCGGTGCGGGTTTTACATTGCCGCGTTCTACACCCTCAATCAGTCGCAAATCTTCTCGCCTCTCCGTTTTATAGTAAGCATCTAACTCTACCGCCAGGCGAATAGCATCATTAAGATTTCCAGGTCTACTCTGCTTGATGCGTAAGCGCATATCTGAGTTGACTAATGCATCAATGAATGCGTCCTTTCCCAGTGTTTCTAATACTTCTGATGGTGCTGTAGGATAAGCTAAACAAGTCAATCTACGGATTGCCTGTCCCAGTTCAGACAATGTCTCAGATGCTCTTTGTTTTCTTTCCTTTAACTGCGCACGGTATAGTTCAGTCTGATTTGGCGGCGCAAAGCGTTCTTCAAGGGCCTTAACCAACAAATTATATTGTTGTCCCGTTTCTTTTGAAACATTTCCAAGTACACCCTGTGCGGTTCCTCTTAACGAAACAGCTAAGTAAAGACCTTTTTCTTTCTCTGACCAGTTGTTAATGGTAGCGCATGCTTCAAAATGGAACTGATCGTCCAGCCAGGAATGACTACCGTCAAACGTTGCAGGTTTGATGTTACATTTTGCAGCCTTTTCCTCTCTGATATTTTCCTCTTGTATCAAGAAAGGGTTGTCTCTGAAGTGAACGCTTGCTTTCCTTTGTGCCCGACCCCCGTGAGGTAATTCATCATTTCTATTTTGCGCAGGAGGCTTAATTTTATTTTGTTCTTCCGGTAGTACTTGCGATTGCACACCCCGTGGAAATTCAAAAGGAGAATGCGCAAGAGTGTTATTCAGCAAATGAACTGGATGAAGATGTGTTTTTGATGAAAGGCGCGGCGTTTCACTGCTAGGTCGTGGCTCAATCGCTACTGAGGCGCGCTCGCTGTCTGCTGTGCATCCACCATTACTCTATGTTCATCATCACCTAAAGAGTAATTAAACATCGCATCCGCAAGTTCAGTTTCATCTCTGTCCTTTTTCTTTTGCGCCTTCGCAGCCCTCATGGTAACGTGATTGGTGTTTGTACTTTCCACGGTGGCGGATGCACTTTGCTCATTATTCTGTTGCATTGCCGTTTCATCTGTTGAAGATGAATTTGGATGACCCTGGCCTCCAATTGCACCTACCATGGTCGCAATCCCCGAATCGCGCGCTCGCACACGTTTATCTAGAGGTGTTGAGTACCTCTCTATTTCTTTGCTCAGTTGCTCGCAGCTCTTTTCCAAGAATGAAATTTCCTCATCTACAATCTTGTCCATAATGATTTCAATGTAATTTAACAATTAATTATAAAAAATATTCCTTACCGAATCTCAACCGGCTGCCACCAAATTTTTGTAACGTTTCTGGGTTCGAAGATTCGGTTGCTCTGCCTGAGCAAATAAAGGAATAAATCAAATTATATAAATTTCTCAATCAAAGATTTTAATTATCAATATATACAATATCCTATTCTGTCCTGGAGCGCGTGCGCTTCCTAGCTAAGCAGACAAAACAACAATAGTTACCAACTTGCAGAAAAATACAACAGTCTCGAAAGCCTTATTCAGGCACATAAGACCCGTTAAGCAAGTTTACGTTTCTCACCTTCACTGGAAACAACTGACTGGTGTCGACTTCAGTTTGGAACTAATTAAGAGCTCTGATATCGCTGCTTATATACCCTAAACTATCACGTGATCTTCGAAGATCGAAAGGGTAAACTAAACAGGAAGTATTTATTACACACAAAGCTTCCGGAGGACAGAATGGGATTTATCATTTCGATTCCTAGTTTTGTTTCAATAGGTAATTTTATAGCTAGAATATTTTTGGGTGCATTTGGAGGGAACTGGTGGCCTTGTTTATTTTATTGAAATATGACACTTTAGTGTATACTGTATATAGGATATGGACTAGAAATACGAAACTAAGCTCAAAACTCGCTCTACCGGTATTTCACCAGAAAGATTCAAATTTCTCAAGGGACAACATCATACTATTATTACATGTAGAGGGAATTAAAAATTTTTCAATGCACATTTTTAAAGCAGCTCAATATTAAGTAAACCGTCAGTCAAACGTTTTGATTGCAAAAAAAAACTATCCTCTGCCACCTCAGTAAGATACGTACTGACCCCCCATCTTCTTTGCAATTTTGAGTCATTTCAAAAGAATACTCTTGTTCACAAGGAGAGTTTAATTCGAATTAAACGTAAGTTACTGAGAATTAGCTTCGCTCAGCGTTCACAAGGAGAATTTAATGCTAATTAGTTTAAGTTTCAATGTACTGCGTACTTCTCCAAATTCATTGATATATATATAACTAGTTTGACAAGGACTTACTTGAATGCTTCAATAAACCTTTTTCCTTATGTCATTTCATCATCATATTTATCCAGCTTCGAAGTCAAGATATTCTGACTGAATGTCCCTAGTCTGCAATCACAGATATCTTTCTTATGATGCAAATATTTTCTAGCTATTGAGTCAACTACATATTTATCACGAAAAACAATACAATAAATGTGTAAATGCATTTAATGGTGTTTTCTGACAAAAAGAATATCATGACATTAGAGATACTTCAACCAGATCTAACAATACACTCACATTTACAAGGGGGCGGGGGCAGGATATATGAAAACAAAGACACATAAAACTATGTAAGTAACAGTACTGGCTGTACAGTATTGTTCAGTTATCATATTTATGCCAATCAATTATAGAAGCCAAATAACAAATGTCTATTTCTGTGTGACAACTTTTTGGGAGAAATACCCTTTTTTTATAAAAAAAAAAATCTTTTTGAGGTCTTTCAAATGATCTCTGATCACATATTAGAAATATTATCCTCATTTAAATTGGTTACAGTAGTTATTCAATTCAAAACACTTTCTTTACATGAAATGCCATTTCTTTGTTAACTACACGTTACAGTATAATGCACACCTTTATCAGAACACACACTTTAATGCATCAAGTTCTAACTTCCACCATTTTGAAGAAATATGTGGACATTTATTGAAGAACATAACTATTCACTCTTAAATTTGTATTAGGTTAATCAAAAAAAAATTCTTCATCATAAAATAACAACAGAATTTTCTTTTAAATCTGTACATGTTGTAGAATTACACTTTTTGGTGAAAAAAAAAATCCTTAGTCACATGACAATATATAAATGTATACAGACCTCATTATATACTTACTAGTCAATGTAAATACTTATATATAAATGAAATATATAAACTAATATTCTTATAATCTCTATCACAGTCTTCTAACAATTTGTTTGTTATGCACTTTATTTGCATGACACATTGTGTTATATAAACTTAATATCTGAGGCCTGTTCAGCAGAGCGAACGTTCGCGAGCACTCGCCAAAACTACTATTGGAGGAATAAGGAATTTTGGCGAGCGCTTGCGAAAGTTCGCTCTGCTGAACAGGCCTCAGTTGTTAACAACGTAGGCCCTTTTAAATGTAGGCACACAAATTTCATCACAATTTACAATGAAGGACATGTATGTAAATGCCTTCTGTAACATTGGATAGTTTGTATAAATCCAGGGCAGCATACGTGTTAGCTTAATAAATGTTAATTCTAAATGAATGTTAAAATAACTTGTGTGAGTGCAACATAAATGTATACTTTTTTTTAATAATGTTAAGTGATTTTTATTCTTATACAAATCTTATAACTGAAATCTTGTCATCTACACTCAATGTGTTAGGGGCATTGGATTCGCCCATTTAAGGAAAATACACTTCAAGCAAACTTTTTGCAGAACATTAGGTTTTAACAATCATACAAATATCATAATTAATGAATTTACATCCGACATCAATAATTCTTATATTGTACATATAGCGTAGTATCTAAGAGACGATTTAGGGAAATTGTCAGGAATATAGATTAAAGCAATGCTATGTTTGTAACCTTTAATTTAAATTGTGAATAACACACATGAATTGTAAATGATTTTGACTGCCTACAAAATAAATTGTACAACATGCATCTATGTCAAGAATTTATGAATGGAATGGACAAAGGGAAATTTTCATGAATGTTTAGAACATCTTAAGGACTTTAAACTGTAAAGATCAAAGAGAAATTGCAAATATATGCTATACTTCAAAGCTGATGGTTTTCTTACAAACACAAAAGGTCTGCTTGCTGCAGTCAAAAAGCTGCCATTTCTCTGTTTCATTGCACTTTAAAAGCATTTTTGGCAAATATTTAATTTCAGTTTTTAGACAAATCAAAGAATCCATTAGGACAGTCATCATGGTCAAACTTACATTGTAAATAATAAAAAATTCATCACAATATACAATCACCACTTCTTCCTCTGAAAAAATTAACAATGTAGGAAAAAAAGTGAGTCTCAGTTTAATTAAATATTACAAACATTCAACAATTTACAATCACAATGTTCACTGAATTCACAAATGAAATGGTTACATTCTAACAATGACAAGGAAAGGGTCTATGAAGTTGGTGGTTTCTGAATTCAGATCTCTTGATATGCTTAAGTGTTGCCTCTTTAAGCACCATGTGGCAAGTTCTACATTCGATGTGGCAGTTGAGAAATCGATTCAAAAGCACCAAGTGTCAAGTTCTACATGTTCAGTGTAGCCGATGTCAGAAATTTTGTTCTCTTCTTCTGTTTAATTTGTTCTGTCATCTACAATATGGTTTATTATGTTTATCAATGTACAAATACAAAAAGGAAGCAAATATTTAGCTCATCTGATTCAAATGGCTCAGTTAAGTTTTTCAAACAGAAAATTGCTGACTTCTGTCATCCGCCTTGTGTCATCTTTAACTTTTACTATTTTTAGCTTCTTCTTCAGAACCATTCAGCCAATTTCAGACACAATTTTATACAGAGCATCCTTGAGTGATGGGATTGAAATTTCTCCAGTTTAAGTAGAAAAGTGAAAATTTAATGGTAGCTTTACAAATCTTTTCAATAACTAATGGACCAAAAAAATTAAAACTAATGCGGAATCTTCATTACCGGTACACGGTTTCATTACCCGAGTGTAGATTGTGGTCACAATAGGTCAAAGTCCGCCGTTCCAACAAGTTCTTTACCAGTCTGTTTGACGTATATTATGACGTGAAATATTAACCCCTAACTTTTTCCTTTAGGTTCGCCAGGTGTTTAGACAGGTTTTTGACCAGTCTGTATTATATTGACCACTAACCTGTTCCTTTAGATCAGTCAGCTGTTTAGACAGATTCTTGACCAGTCGGTTTGTGGCGTCCAGCTGAGCCTGTAGATTTCGGTAATCACTCTGTTCCCCCTCACTGTCTTCAGCTGTTAAAGACATCGCTCTCATTCGGGGGAACCAGTCCAAGTTTTTCTCCTACAAAAGAAATCAAACAAGCTTGAGCTTTATATCTTGTCAGTGAAATTTTTTATTAATTAAAATAATGAATCAAAGACAAAGTCGTTCAAGCTTACATCAACTTGTTCTGTAATCAGTGAGTTTAAAGATATACCATAAAAGCCTGTGATCCAGAGACAATTTGAGTTAATTTATCTGATTCACAATGAGTAGGATACCTTGACCATCTGGTACACATAGCTCTCTGGTCCAGTGAATTCTGTGTGATCCTTGACCTTGACAAGGACAATGAAGTTAAGGTAATGCCACATGTTGTGTTCCTTTGACTTGTGTTCATCAAAAGAAACAGATTTGTTGTCAAAATTGCTTCGATTTAGTCCTGAAAAAAATATCAGTAGATCTCATTTCTTGTTGCCATATTTAGTATATTTTCTATAAACTACTGTCTAGTAAATGCACTAAATGACTTACAAAACAATTTTATCATTAAATGAAAGTTAATCTTTGTCAAATCTTGTTTAGAAAATATGTTTGAAATGAAATCACAATATATGCTAAAATTAAACTAAAATCCTAGCTACCCCAGTTGTGTATATTAACTAACATAAAACTGAAAACCTACCACAAACAAAACATGTATTTTTGAGAATTTCATCTTTTTGCTGCTTTTCACTCCTGAGATCAGCAAACGTGTCGATGATGACACCAAAAATGAGGTTAAGGACGATGATAATAACAATGAAGAAGAATAGAAGATCATACACGACCCGGGCCACAAACAGGTTCTCCTACAATACAATGTATCATATTAAACACTTTTAACGGCCACAAACAGATTCTCCTACAATACAATGTATCATATTAAACAGTAGATCATACACGACCCGGGCAACAAACAGGTTCTCCTACAATACAATGTATCATATTAAACAGTAGATCATACACGACCCGGGCAACAAACAGGTTCTCCTACAATACAATGTATCATATTAAACAGTAGATCACACACAGCCCGGGCCACAAACAGATTCTCCTACAATACAATGTATCATATTAAACAGTAGATCATACACGACCCGGGCAACAAACAGATTCTCCTACAATACAATGTATCATATTAAACAGTAGATCATACACGACCCGGGCCACAAACAGATTCTCCTACAATACAATGTATCATATTAAACAGTAGATCATACACGACCCGGGCAACAAACAGATTCTCCTACAATACAATGTATCATATTAAACAGTAGATCATACACGACCCGGGCCACAAACAGATTCTCCTACAATACAATGTGTAATATTAAACAGTAGATCATACACGACCCAGGCCACAAACAGATTCTCCTACAATACAATGTATCATATTAAACAGTAGATCATACACAGCCCGGGCCACAAACAGATTCTCCTACAATACAATGCATCATATTAAACAGTAGATCATACACAGCCCAGGCCACAAACAGATTCTCCTACAATACAATGTGTAATATTAAACAGTAGATCATACACGACCCCGGCAACAAACAGATTCTCCTACAATACAATGTATCATATTAAACAGTAGATCATACACGACCCAGGCCACAAACAGATTCTCCTACAATACAATGTATCATATTAAACAGTAGATCATACACGACCCGGGCAACAAACAGATTCTCCTACAATACAATGTGTAATATTAAACAGTAGATCATACACGACCCAAGCAACAAACAGATTCTCCTACAATAGAATGTATCATATTAAACAGTAGATCATACACAGCCCGGGCCACAAACAGATTCTCCTACAATACAATGTGTAATATTAAACAGTAGATCATACATGACCCCGGCAACAAACAGATTCTCCTACAATACAATGTATCATATTAAACAGTAGATCATACACGACCCAGGCCACAAACAGATTCTCCTACAATACAATGTGTAATATTAAACAGTAGATCATACACGACCCGGGCCACAAACAGATTCTTCTACAATACAATGTATCATATTAAACAGTAGATCATACACGACCCGGGCAACAAACAGGTTCTCCTACAATACAATGTATCATATTAAACAGTAGATCATACACAGCCCAGGCCACAAACAGATTCTCCTACAATACAATGTGTAATATTAAACAGTAGATCATACACGACCCGGGCTACAAACAGATTCTCCTACAATATAGTCAGATGTTATTTCTTACTAATCTTGTCAGTAAATTTTATTGTTTGTTTGGTTGTTTAAAGTCCCTCTCCAGCATTTTTCACTAATATAGAGAGACCATCACTTTGGAGTGGAGAGATGCAAATTTTGTCCAGACCTATACTCGGCACCCACGGTCATTTAGCAATGAGGTATCTTTTTTGCGCCAGCACTTACTGCAACATGGGACCTCAGTTTATACAGTCTCATCCAAAGAACTGGTCTCCTTGTCCCATAGTGGGATTCAAACCCAGGATGTAAGAATCAACTCCTTACTCCCTGTCTCTAGAGCAGACGCTCTTACCACTGCGCCACTCAGGTGACATTACATTTTATAATATTATCAGTACTTAACACCCAGTGAAAACAAAATGACAATGCAGCCTTACCCTGATGTCCGGTTTTCTGAGCAGGTCACCGATCCCCCCGCCGTTCCTGAGGCCGTGGTTGAGGGAGGTCAGGATACACATGATCAGGGAATCACACACTCTCTGTTTACCATCCTCTGTGGTGTCAGCTGCTGAGGAAATTTGGAACGATACAGAAATCTTTACATATATACTCAGACAGTTCTTTGTTTCTACATACTATAATAGATTAGTCTTACTGCCTGCTGTCAATCTACATGTTTAGTTCTTTTTGGCAATAGATTTTATTTGAATATTAATGTGATATATCGACACCCACCTGTCACATCCTGTGATGCCCTGACACCCTCTGTTACAGTACTACAGTTCTGACTGTCACACGTACCATTATCTGTATCATTCACCGCTATACAGAACAATAAATAGGTAAGAGGAGTGATATAAATATCAATGATTTTTGTATATTCTTTATACACTGTAGGATAATTAGTCAGTAGATCTAAATTTTATTTACAAACAATCTAAAAATAAAGAAACACATCATTTTACGGTTTGTGTCTTTCTCTTGTTTTCATCATTTAAAGGAAGAACTTTATCACAGTGACTGTACATTTTTTTTCTCCAGTTACTGAGTTCTCAATGCACCTTTTCTGTACAATAAAACTTCAGTGTCCGATATAGAGAAAAAAAATACATTAAATTTTAAAATGAGCTTTTGAGACCTTCCCCTATCAGCTGTGGTATGGGGTCGACCTCCAACAGGAAGTCATCTTGGAAACAGATGTAGCCAATGATGGAGAAGAGATAGATGATAATGACGGCCAGGACCGCCGTCAGGATGATGGAGCGGCCGTTCTTAGTCACCGACTTAATCACGTTCCACAGCGTCTCCTCTCTGTTGATCACGTCCAGTAACTGTGACAAGAAACGAATACAAGTTACTATTACAAAAAACACATACAGTCAACATTATACAAGTAACTATAACAGTCAAAATACATATTAGTAATAAACAGTCAATACATACAACATAATAGATTTTCTTTTGATATAGATGCCTTACCAATATACTGTAGAAGAATTTCGTGGACACACAGTCTTAGGATACAGAACACTAGGTAGATGATGTGAGTGCCTTACCAATATACTGTAGAAGAACTCGTGGACACACAGTCCTAGGATACAGAACACTAGGTAGATGATGTGAGTGTCTTACCAATATACTGTAGAAGAACTCGTGGACACACAGTCTTACCAATATACTGTAGAAGAACTCGTGGACACACAGTCCTAGGATACAGAACACTAGGTAGATGATGTGAGTGTCTTACCAATATACTGTAGAAGAACTCGTGGACACACAGTCCTAGGATACAGAACACTAGGTAGATGATGTGAGTGCAGGGACCAATATACTTTTAAACCATAGGTCAGCACAGCTAACCAATTACTTGAATTTCTACACACAGCCCTGTTCATGTATTAATTGTCTTACAATATACTGTAGAAGCCGAACACAGCTGTTGGCCTAGTAGATGATGTGAGTGCCTTACCAATATACTGTAGGGGTAGAAGAGGTGCACACAGGGAGAACACTAGGTAGATGATGTTCTTACCAATATACTGTAGAAGAACTCGTGGACACACAGTCCTAGGAAAACAGAACACTAGGTAGCGATGCCAAATCCTTACCTGTATACTGTAGAAGATTATATGGACACACAGTCCAGGATACTGAACCTTAGATGATGTGATTGTCTTACCAATATACTGTAGAAAACTCGTCACACATATATAATCATACTTAGAAGTATTTGGACACACAGTCACCTTTAAATTTTACAATTTTGACATACAAAAAAATAATTATAAACGTTTGAGAATAGATTTAATAATTATTAGATACATTTTGTGTAATTGATAATTATTTTTGTTGCCAATATACTGTAGAAAACACACAGTCCTAGGATACAGAACACTAGGTAGATGATGCAAGTTTTAAATATACTGGCATGTTTGGTACACACAACCTCAATATTCAGAAAACCGGGCCATGATGTACCAATATACTGTAGAAGAACCGTGGACACACAGTCTTACCAATATACTGTAGAAGAACTCGTGGACACACAGTCCTAGGATACAGAACACTAGGTAGATGATGTGAGTGCCTTACCAATATACTGTAGAAGAACTCGTGGACACACAGTCCTAGGATACAGAACACTAGGTAGATGATGTGAGTGCCTTACCAATATACTGTAGAAGAACTCGTGGACACACAGTCCTAGGATACAGAACACTAGGTAGATGATGTGAGTGTCTTACCAATATACTGTAGAAGAACTCGTGGACACACAGTCCTAGGATACAGAACACGAGGTATATGATGTGAGTGTCTTACCAATATACTGTAGAAGAACTCGTGGACACACAGTCTTACCAATATACTGTAGAAGAACTCGTGGACACACAGTCTTACCAATATACTGTAGAAGAACTCGTGGACACACAGTCCTAGGATACAGAACACTAGGTAGATGATGTGGTACATGAATCTGAAGTCTGTCAGCACCTGTCGGGGCAGCTTAGTGAATGTCCCCTGATTTCCCATCATACTTATCAAAAATATACCTTTATTTATCACCTGTCAAAGAAAAAACATATAAATTTATTTACTTAATAAATCAAAAATAATGTTGGTGAATTAATTTACAAAAGAAACTGTCTTAAGATGCATAAATACAGTGGACCTTCAGATATCCGGACGCCAGATATCCGGATGCTTCACTATCCGGACGATTTTTCATCGGAACAGAATTTTTAAATGTTATTTGGTTTTGTTTAACAGGTGATTCAGGTATCTGGACGCTTCACATATCGGGACAAATTGACTGGGAACAAAAGCATCCGGATAAATGAGGCTCCACTGTATATATATCAAGTCTCAAATGCTCAAATCATGTTCAATTAAGAAATAAATCTTTTCTATACATTTTCCTCATCCTTATCGAATATTTCAAAAAGATTCAAGTTAACAGCTGTGATATTAATTTGAAACACAAAAGTGATAAATTGCATTTACAAAGATAAACTTATGCCAGACATCATCAGATAAATACTTACATTAATAGCTCCTAATAACCACAGTGTAGTGTCAAGTCCCACAGAGAAAATAAACCGGAAAATCGTGGAAATAAAAAATGTTCTGATGGCTGCTGGATTGACACCCACCATAGTAACCAGAGCCAGGGAACCGAACATGGCCGTCCAGATCAAACCGGAGAGCTTAGGGTCCAGTTCTAGAGAATCAGGTGAAAAGAATTAGACTTTGGTGCACCTAATTTTGTTTTGTATATGATATATGAGCATAACATTGTACTTCTTCATACTTTCATTATGGAAATGAATAATACTGATAATTTGATACAAATAATTGTAGACTTTTATTATTTTGAAATTCATCAATTGCAACTTTCATCTTTAAAGAACAATCACAACAAAAAATTTATGTACAAGTTTAATTGTCTGTTTTTTTTAATTTCTGAAACTATTAACATTATTCCTAACTCACTGGTACGTACCTTTCTTGACCTCTGTAAATGGGTAGAAGAAGGCCACTAAGAAGTTAAGGAGCACTGCAAACTGGAAGGTGATACTGCTCCAAAGGGACATGTGACTACTGAACCATGACAGGTAGGGGTTAGCTAAATATAGAAAAGACATGTGACTACTGAACCATGACAGGTAGGGGTTAGCTAAATATAGAAAAGACATGTGACTATTGAACCACAACAGTACAAAACATGTATATACATGTGAATCACAATAAATGTGTAGTTTACAGACATCTACATCACTGTACAATGTTTGTAAAAATGAAATCTAAAAAAATTAACACTAGCACAATAGTTTTATGACCTTAAATCTTAACATAAAATTGATCACTGCCACTTACAAATAAAAATCAAAGTACTGAGACAGTACTGAAAGACGGGGTCAAAATAATCTTCATGCTAGATTTCACAAATGTGATTTTTTTTACGAGTTTTAATAACAACTTTATTTTTTCATTAACATACTAAAAACAAAACTATGAATAATATACATTCACATTTTTCATTTAATTTGATTTGAAATAGAAATTTCAATAATTGTTCAGTCTGGAAACCTTTCTGAACTGCTCCGAATTTCATCAGGTACGAACTAATAATTTTTCCGGAAGTAAACAATGGATGATGCGTACACAGTCATAATAATACGCAGGATAGTACTTTGTCTACTAGTGTTATTTACAGTTAATATTTACAGTTTTAAATTATCAAAATACTTTATTAGTTGAGTTAGACAAAGGTTCATATCAATTTCTTCAGTTTGATACAAAATGTTTATGTTTTGATAAACAATTTCTGCACTCTTTCGTATGCGTAGATTTAATTCATGTGTTATCACCACGGCTTCCGTTTTCTATTTTTAGGCCTCTGAGAGTAAACTAAAAGACGGGGTCACGTGACCCCGTCTAAAAAAATCTTATGCTTAATTATTTCAGATACATATACAGTGGACCCTCATTTATCCAGACTCTTTGGTTCCCAGTCAATTTGTCCGGATATGTGAAGCATCCGGATATCTGAATCACCAGTTAAACAAGACAGAATAACATTTTAAAATTTTGTTCCTATGAAAAATCGTCCGGATACTTACAAATCAAAAAAAAAAAATCTTATGCTTAATTATTTTAAGAATTTTCATGTGATTTTGTATTTTGTATTTAGTTTCAATATGTTTAACTTGACACATTATAAGTTTATTATTAACTAGCTAACCCCTCAGTTTTTTCTGCCATCTCATCTCGGCAAACATGTCCTCCACTTTCTCGAAGAAGTCGGCGACCTTGCTGCCCTGCTCATCTCGCTCGGTGGTGTAGTAGATACGAGTCTTTGTCTCCTCCGTCAGGTACTCACAGATCTCGGGGATCGGGAACACAATCCTCTCCATAGACCGGTCCTGTCTCACGATCTGGTAAAAAAAATCATATTGTCATTTATTCTACAGTTCTAGTTCATTTTTATCATAAAAAGAACACCTTTATTTACTGTAAACCCACCATTATCCACAACCTTCATTGCCATGTGTTGATTTGAAATATTTTCCTATGAACTATACTTTTTGACTAAGGGATTATAATGTTTAAATTCACAACAAAATGCAAAGTTTGCAGTCAGAAATATTAGCATTTACAAGTAAAAACATTTGAAAAATTTTTTCGCCCAAATAATAGTTTGTTTTTAGTACTGTAAATCACTAAATTTTTGCAAGATAGTTATTGACTCTTTATTGGCGAGACAAAATGATCAAGAATTGTGGTTATTGGTCTAAAGTATATAATCTTTAGGAATGAAAATATATGTGAGAATGAAATTTTTTGCAAGCCAACTTCCTTAATTGAGCAAAAAAAAAAAATAGTTCTCAGGTATAAAAGTGATTTACAGTACTTAAAATAATTATCTGCATGAAAAAGATCTTTAAGGGATGAAATTGTAGGAACTGCAAGTTACTCAAATCTACAGCAGATTTGGCATAATTAATTTTTTGTACCTCAATCTGAGCAGTGTGTTTCTCATAAAATTCTAAAGCCTGGTCTCCCCATAAATCTCCACTGGGCTTCAACAAGTGGGCCAACCTCTCACTGTGTAGGGACAACTGCCAAGAAACAACATATATATTACAATTCTTTAACAGTCAGAGCAGTGTACTGTCACCAAGACTTAATGTAGAACTTCCAAAGCTTATCCAGTAGGTATAACAAATGTGTATAAGTTCTTCCACTAAACATTTCCTTACCTGTGTTGCCAGGATGTAGATGTTGTGTCCCAGGTCTTTCATCTTAAGGTGGTTCTTACCTGTGTAGCCAGGATGTAGATGTTGTGCCCCACGTCTTACATCTTAAGGTGGTACTTACCTGTGTAGCCAGGATGTAGATGTTGTGTCTCACATCTTAAATCTTAAGGTGGTACTTACCTGTGTAGCCAGCATGTAGATGTTGTGCCCCACGTCTTACATCTTAAGGTGGTACTTACCTGTGTAGCCAGGATGTAGATGTTGTGCCCCACGTCTTACATCTTAAGGTGGTATTTACCTGTGAAGCCAGGATGTAGATGTTGTGCCCCACGTCTTACATCTTAAGGTGGTATTTACCTGAGTAACCAGGATGTAGATGTTGTGCCCCACGTCTTACATCTTAAGGTGGTACTTACCTGTGTAGCCAGGATGTAGATGTTGTGCCCCACGTCTTACATCTTAAGGTGGTACTTACCTGTGTAGCCAGGATGTAGATGTTGTGTCTCACATCTTAAATCTTAAGGTGGTACTTACCTGTGTAGCCAGGATGTAGATGTTGTGCCCCACGTCTTACATCTTAAGGTGGTACTTACCTGTGTAGCCAGGATGTAGATGTTGTGCTCCACCTCTTACATCTTAAGGTGGTTCTTACCTGTGTAGCCAAGATGTAGATGTTGTGCCCCACGTCTTACATCTTATGGTGGTACTTACCTGTGTAGCCAGGATGTAGATGTTGTGTCCCACGTCTTACATCTTATGGTGGTTCTTACCTGTGTAGCCAGGATGTAGATGTTGTGTCCTACGTCTTTGGGCGACGCCTCTTTTCCCTCCTCTTCTTCGTCATCGTCAATGGAGGCTTCCTGGTGGAAGGCATTCTTAGCGATGTCCACCTAGATAATCAGATGTCAGGGAGTCAACACAACATTACAGTACTGACAAATGTTAATATTACAGGATTGTTAATAGGATGGGGGAAATAAAACAAACTTGTGTTAGCAGAATGAAAATATTGTCAATGATGAACATAAAATCAAATTAATAAAAATAGTTAATTGTTATTAGCCAAAATTGTATACATAATGGGTGAGATAAGTTAGATAATGTTACTTATATTGTTAAATGAAAGTTAATAAGATTCAGTGATGAAATAATAAAACTACACTACATTATAGTCGTAAATAAATTTATGCAGTTTGAAAATGAGGCACAAACAAAAATCAGAATAACTATGCATGAAAATACCAGATTTTTTTTAAATGTATAAAAAAATAAGTGATAGATACATTGTACAAACAAAATCTAGATACAAGTATGAAGATATGATACAATGTAATTGAAAGATTTACAAACCAACATACAAACTAGTTTAAACTATGCCTGAAAACACAATGGCACCAATCCACTATTCTACTGAGAGTTATTTAAAAATAAAATCATTGACAAATAAAAAATCAATCAAAAAACCACATCAATGCACTTGTATCAAAAAATCATAAAAAGAAAAAAAGACGTAAAATAAAGGTTTACACAGGTCCATGCCAGATAAAATGAGCTACAGGGTGATTAGGTTGACCTTGGAGATAACCGATCCATCCATTGTAGCCAGCTTAAAGACCAAACCTAACGACTCCACCTGGAGGAACAAGGGACATCACTCTGTCAGCACACTCACTCACTAGTTACCTCCCTCTCTTTATTAAAGCTTTTTTTTAAATTTATTTGTAACAATAAAAACAAAACAGAAAAGGATAAGGTCACAAATCCAAAAACCTTGCTTTGTTTTTTCAAAACAATTTATAAAAAATTGCAAGATCAGAAAAGCATAAAAAAAATTATTGAATTATTCTTCAGAAGAATTCTCTGGGACATATTGTAACTTGGCCATATCTCTAGATTTTTAATCAAAATTCATTTCACCCAAGAAATGAAATAATTAAATGCTTAAGTACATCATTTTATCTTAAATTCTCTACAAATAAAAACCTTATTTTTTAAAATTCTATAACTGAGTTCAGAAAACTTCATCTCTTTAGATAGGACATAAAATATGAAGGATGTCTAAAGTTTTAATGTTTATAAATGTGATATGTCTAGTTTGTTAACCAACAATTAATCAAGCAGTATTATTGAATTAATAGAAAACAAAAGATTTATACACTTGACAAATGGGTTAATGCATAGTTATATGGATGTGTGTTACTGTGTTACAATATAAAGCTTAAAAAATCAGATTTATTAAAATAAAAAAAATAATGATTCAAATTTATTGCCATATTTCTTGTAAAAATAAAAATTAATTAAATTTGCAATGCAGTATTATATAAAGCATGTTAAGAAATCTGGCATGGCTGATAATATACAGAAGAGTTTACCAGTTGTTTTGGATTCATGTTGTACAGGATTCTCTCAGCATTCTCGCTGTCATGACGACTCTCCATTATAGCCAATAGACACTTGGAGGCATTATTCTACAACATAAATTAAATTAAAAATTTTAAAAATCTGGTAAAATAAATAAAAAAAAAAATTCTACAGATACCTAAATTTTCAACAGAAGCCTTCTGTTAAGAACGCTCTAAGACTTATAGATGAATTACTTACTAAATGGTGACTTAAAAGCAAACTCAAACAAAACAACTCAAACAAAACAACTAATAAGAAGTCTGCTGTCACATTAAATATCTTTTATGAAACAAGATGTTTGTAAAACACTTATGCCCAAATCCCAAAATAATTGGAATTTTTCTAAGTCAAAGGGGCACATATAACTCTGTCCAAAATTGCACAATTGTACCCAAAACAAAATTTAAAATATATATTCTTATGATAAATCTGTATACCAAATTCCATTTCAATATGTGCAACCTCTGCAAAGATGATGGAAACTGCAAATTATTGGAATTTTACCAAGTCAAAGGGACATAACTCTGTCCATATATAGCTCGTTCGTAGAACTTGGCCTAGATATTTTTATGTTCGATCTGTTAACCAAATTTCATTTCAATATGTGCAACCACTGCAAAGAAAATAAACAGACGGACAGACAGATTGACAGACAGCAGCAAAGCAATATGCCCTTCCTTCTTCAGAGGGGGGGGGGGGAGGGAGGGGGGGCATAATAATATTGTGTTTCTCTTTGTTGTTTATTGAACTGATTATAACATTTTTTAAGATAAATCAAATTCACAGAATGATACAAATTCTTGCATGAGATTAATGTTTCATTAAATCACTGTTACAGAACCCCTAGCTTGATTCTTCTCCTACCTTGAGCTCCAGTACTAGGGCCAGTTTGTTTTTCCCCAGAGGGTTGATTTCATTCAACAGCAGTGCTATAATGATGTCTATCCCATTACTCTCATGCATAGCTATGGCATTCTACAAAACATTCAACATATTCAGATCATTTATTCCCTAACAACAGCTTGAGCATTTCAACAAAAAATATAGATATTAATGTAAGACCTTGGTTTTGTGTGACATCTGTGATATACCTGTGATATACCTGTGTGACACCTGTGACATACCTGGTTGTCATGACACGGTCCCTGGCAGTACTCTGTCAAGCTAGTGAGGGCCTGTATGATGAGGTCCACATTGTGTTCGTTGATGTACAGACCCAGCAGGCCCAGCCCTCCTGTTGTACTGCCACATATAGAGTCAAGGAACTGTAGTGTCTCACAGATCAGGTTGTATGGTTTAGCATGGCCTTGTTGGTGTCTCAGAAAATTCTGAAAAGGTTAAAAAAAAAACCATTTTTGTTCTGTACATGCCATTACTATTGTCCACAATATAATGTCAATACAATGTCAATGCTAATTTTTTTCCAAATCTTAAATGATACAAATTGATTATTCAATATGGCATTCAGACCATTCTAGCTAGTTACATTTCTATGAATATTGCTTTACATAGTGTTTATCTTGCAAATTTATGCAATCATTCCATATACCATGTGTTCTTCTAGTTTTCCCTATTTTCACAGGCTACAAACCCTCCCCCCTATAGTATATACTAAGCCCCTCACCTGTAAATCAGAGTTGTGGTTCTCACACAGAAGCTGGAGGAATCGTAGTATGTACTTCATCAGGGCCACGTTGGGGGGCAGTTTCTTCTCCTCCTTCTCTTTCTTGTCTTTCTCCAGGGCGGCCTCCTCACTCCCGGGGTGAGGTCCCCGCCCCTCCTCCTGGTCCTCACCCTGACGCGCTGCCCGGCGAAGTCGAAGCAGACCACCATGCTCATCCTCTCCATCCAATCGTCTTAAACCTTGACAAACAATAAATAAACACTGATAGATAAAAGCAATCAAGCAATTAACACTTACTTATATCTTCATTCAAGATTTTTAAATCATACATTGGATATTTCAAATAAGACAACAAAATACAGAGATTTGAAATATGTCAAGCATCTGACTTGTTTTTTTGGCAATATCAAAAGTATACTCTATAATTTCATTTCACAAACTTCAACTTTTCAACAAGATTAGAGACAAAATGATCTCTAGTTACTTTACTTTTTTTTCACTTTTTCTCAGCTTTCCTTTCTTTTCAGTGCTCCTCTCCTTATCCCTTCTTCCTTTTCAGTGTCCCCTCTTATACCCCATTCTTCCTTTTTAAGTTTTTAGTGCCCTTCCCCTCCCTTTACCCATCTAAGTGTCTTTCATGTTTCCCCATTTGCTCCTCCCTACTTTCACTGCCCCATTTTTCTCTCCCTTTTTCCTCAGTCTACTACAATGTCCCCTCACCTTACCCCCCTCCCTACCTCCTCTGTTCCTCCTCTGGATGGCTGCCTCTTTGTTTTCCTTCTGTTCATCTGTATTCTTCTCGCTCTCCACGGTATTGACAGTGATTCCTTTGATTTCCTCCCGAGCCTTCACCATCCTGTTGTAGAACACTCTCAGGAAAGTCTCCGAGTTCTTATCCTTGGTTAATCTTCTGTAGATGGATTTCTTGAAAAGAACCAGATTTGTGGATTAAGATGCTGTTTGATATAATTTCACAAACATGACAATATTTCTTAATGTTGTTGAATGCACTAATTATAGCACAATTTTTTTCAATATATAGAAGTAATACTTGATAGACCTAAATCATGCGTTATTAAACAATAATTACAGTCTTCCCATATCCTTACCTACACACGATTTGAACAATTTATAATCTGTGTTGCCCCCCTCCAAAACTGTCTCTTTACCTGTATATCTGTGTTGCCCCCCTCCAGGATGCTTCCACCAAGTTTCACCTGTATATCTGTGTTGCTAGAGCTATCAGGGTTCTTCATCAGAAGATTTTTTAACTGTCTCTTTACCTGTATATCTGTGTTGCCTCCCTCCAGTAGAGCTATCCCCAGTTTAACCATCTTCTTACCTGTATATCTGTGTTGCCCCCCTCCAGTAGAGCTATCCTCAGTTTAACCGTCTCCTTACCTGTATATCTGTGTTGCCCCCCTCCAGTAGAGCTATCCCCTGTTTAACGGTCTCCTTACCTGTATATCTGTGTTGCCCCCCTCCAGTAGAGCTATCTCCAGGGGACTTAACAATTCTAAATCTGTGTCCCCCAGTATAACCCCCCCCCCTTGGACATTAATCATTTTACCAACTTTGGTTAAAATAAGCCCAGTGATTCTTGAGAAGTTTATAATGTGAAAGTTTACAGATGAATGGACAGCTAGATAGACAGACGAAGGTTGTGATATCCTCAGTTTAAAAGCTCACTTGAACTTTTACCTGTATATCTGTGTTGCGCAGGTAAACATAACTGCTCCTTATTATATCTGTGTTGCTCCATGTGAAATATTTTTAACTGTCTCCTTACCTGTACATCTGTGTTGAGAAATCTGTATAACCCCCCCCTCCAAATAGTTTAACTGTCTCCTTAATATCTGTTTACTATTCTGTTACAATGTTTAACACATGTGTTGCCCCCCTCCATGTCTACACCCCCTGTTTAACTGTCTCCTTACCTGTATATCTGTGTTGCCCCCCTCCAGTAGAGCTATCCCCAGTTTAACCCCTCCTTACCTGTATATCTGTGTTGCCCCCCTCCAGTAGAGCTATCCCCAGTTTAACTGTCTCCTTACCTGTATATCTGTGTTGCCCCCCTCCAGTAGAGCTATCCCCAGTTTAACCGTCTCCTTACCTGTATATCTGTGTTGCCCCCCTCCAGTAGGGCTATCCCCAGTTTAACCGTCTCCTTACCTGTATATCTGTGTTGCCCCCCTCCAGTAGAGCTATCCCCAGTTTAACGGTCTCCTGGAACACTTTGTTGTTAGTGTTATTGGTTTCTCGGATGATCAGATCCACTATAAGATCTACTGCCCCCTCCTTCTCCAGACCGCACTGTACAAAAATCAGGGACATTTAACACTAAAATACTTAGCATTTATAAATCTTGTTATATCAAAATAAACATATTAAATTATAGAGGAAAGCAGACTAAAAATAATTCAAAGTAAATAAAAGTAGAAATAGATTTTTTTTCACATTTTTAGGATCAGGTATGTACATTGTATAATTTTCCAAAATTTTATTTTCTCATGATCAAATATGTAAATTTTACTCTAAGATTAAAAGAATGGAAAATTCATACAGCAGATGACAATCTCTGCCAATTTAATTTCTAACACATGGAAATTTAATTTTCCAAAATTTTATTTTCTGTATACTAAGTATATAAATTCACTATAAGATGTGGAATGGTCTTGATAATCTCTACTATATCCACATGAAAATTTAGGGCTATATATTTACCTGTACTTCTGTGGGGTCTTTCCCTATATCCCTAGGGCTATATATTTACCTGTACTTCTGTGAGGGACTTTCTCTCCCTCCCTAAGGCCATATTCCTTGACCCACCATCTCCCCCTCCCCTGCCACCACCCCCATCTCGACCTCGGAGGGGGACCTTCTCGTAGTACTGCGCCAAAAGACTCTGTCTCAGGGCCTCCCCCTGTAAAGGAAATTAGTCACGTTATAATGTCTCAGTATACTCAATGCTCAACTGAGTACACTCAATATTAAATGAGTACACTCATTGTTCAACTGAGTACACTCAATGTTCAACTGAGTACACTTAATGTTCAATTGAGTACACTCAACGTTCAACTGAGTACATTCAATGTTCAACAAACTCAATGTTCCTTTGAGTACACTCTATGTTCAACTGAATACACTTAATTTTTAACTGAGTTCACTTAATGTTCAACTGAATATACTCAATATTCAATGAGTACACTCAATATTCAACTAAGTACACTTAATGTTCAACTGAATATACTTAATATTCAACTGAGTACACTCAATGTTAAACTGAATATACTTAATATTCAACTGAGTACACTCAATGTTCAACTGAGTACACTCAATGACATGAAATGAATGAAAGAATGAAATCAAAGGATGTCATACAAGTAAGTAAAAGTATGAATCAATGACTGAATTCTGAATCAAAAGAGGTCAGAATGAGAGTCTACAAACTGAGAAAATATTACACAGATAAGCTGAGTTTATAAATCACTAGATCTGTTGCAACTTTAATGTCCCTTTTTTAGGTTATGAAAAATTAGTGCTCCGATTTTTTTTAATATTTTTACTATGTCTATAAACTCAGCTCCATTTACAGATAAAACAGAACTAGAATTTGACATTAGACATTCATTTAATATTTACATGGTGTTACATGTACTACACTACAGAACATGCTAAGATTCTAACAATCTATTCCATATAAAACTACATTAGCTTTAGGAGAAGGTTCACATTAAGCTAAGATATCACTATAATCAGGCTTTATGTCTTTATTCTGAATAATATGTTTTATAGAATACGTTGAAAACTATTCATTCTTGTTTATATACCATGGCTATATATAGTTTTTAGGAATTTATAAAGTGAATACTTTTTCTACATGTACTACATGTAGTTCCATTATTAAAATCAGAGAGCTACAAATCTATATTTAGCTAAATATTCAATAATAAAAGGTGAACTGAGTGATCTTCATAACAAGAAAAATACTATGTTAGTGTTAAAATTATACTATTGTGTATTTAATGCATGTTTAATTGGATAAATATAATAAAAATGATGATAATATAAGTTATATATAAAAATAGTGCACCAAAATTTTAAGCAAGAAGATCTGTATCATTTTTAAAGTGTAATTACATAATCTAATTAATCTATGTATATGGAAACAGAGAAACCCTGAATTCAGTGAAATTAAGTTATTGTAAAGTATGCAAGTCATGTTCTGCTCTTGAGGGTGAAATGTGTAAACAAATACTGTATACAGGGTTATTTTCGCCCTGTTTAATTGTCCCCCGCTTTCGCGAAAGCGAGGGGACATTAAATCTCATTCGTCTGTCTGTCAGTCTGTCTAGCTGTCTGTCTGTCTGTCCGTCCGTCACAAAAACTTTAACCTTGCCCATAACTTTTAATTAAGTGGAGCTATGACTTTTATATTTCACATGTGTATTCCTTGTGACAAGAACTTTTTTTGGGTACCACCAAATTTGACCTTTTGACCTTGACCTTGGAGTTTGACCCACTTTTACACAAAAAATTAATTTTTTTATTTTGGGCAAAACTTTTGAACGGTAGATACTAGGACTTTCATATTTCACATATGTATTGTTTTTGGCAAGACCTTTCATTGGATATCAAGAACTTTGACCTTTTGACCTTGACCATAGAGATTTCTGTACTTTTGAAAAACATTATTCTTGACCATAAGTTTAAAACGGTAAGGACTAGGGCTTTCATACTTCAAATATATAATCCTTGAGAAAAGTCCTTTCATGGGTAACAAGAACTTTGACCTTCTGACCTTGACCTTGGAGTTTGGCTTACTTTTAAAAAATTTAACCTTGGCCATAACTTTTGTGAAGGGTTAGGGCTAGGGTTTTCATACCTCAAATATTTAATCCTTGTGACAAGACCTTTCATTTGATATCAAGCATACACCCTTTGACTTTGATCTTGGAGTTTGACCTACTTTTTAAAAGATTTAACCTTGGCCATAACTTTTGAATGGTAAGGGCTAGGGCTTTCATACTTCACATAAGTAATCCTTGTGAGAAGACCTTTCACTGGATACCAAGAACTTTGATCCTTTTACCTTGACCTTGCAGTTTGACCTACTTTTAAAATTCGAGTACCAATATATTTAATTTACATTTTTAAAAAAGTTTAATCTTCGCTTTGTTGCCATACGGGGTCATCAATGTTTCACAAACGCATTTTTTTCCTTTTCACTTTTGACTGAGAAGAGATTAGGGCTTTAATATTTGACATGTGCATTACCTATGACAAGATATTTCCAAGCATGATAAGATTTCTGACTCCTTGACCTTGGCCTTTACGATTGACTTTATTAAAAAAAAAAATTCAACTTTGATAATTTCTTAATGACATATGATAGGGCGTTCATATTTGACATCTCACCTACGAAGACACCGAAAGCGGGGGACCACAATTCTTTGAATTTGCTTGTTTTTGCCCTTTTACACTTGCATACAATTTTGCCCCATTTTAAATTCGGCCAATTATAGTTTTATTAAAGAAATTATACTGTATAATTTCGTTTCGCCCCGTTTTAAATTCGCCCAAATGAGGGAAGGGCGAAACGGGCGAAAATAAAATGGGGGCGAAAATTTCCCTGTATACAGTACACAGACCCTTGTACAGTATTAAGAAGGCCATGCATTCTCAACTTAAATAATGAAAGTAAAATGTTACGTCTAATACTTAAAAAATCCTTTCTCATTGTAATTTCTCCAATGAAGAATGAAACCTTAAATCTTTTACCTATTTATGAATGCTTTGAGGGAAGGCTCTGTATTAAAACAATAATGTAACTAATATAATGAAAGGTAACTGTCACTATATAAAACCAACTTTTTGGAAACAAATCTGAATGAATCTCAAAGTTTCTCAGACCTTTTGTAAAACAATAAATTGTAAGGTTAAAGCTATAGGCTTGATATTCATACTGACAACATGACGGCTCTACAGAACACAATGAACACAAATATAAATGACATCAGTCCACCCCTTACTGTGCCCCTATAAAGCATGCATCAGTCCCCCCTACTGTGCCCCTGTAAAGCATGCATCTTACCCGGCGATGATCGTCTAACTCCTTTTTTGTCTTGTTATCCAGCTGATGAGAAAGCAATGGCAAACAGGACACAATTATTAACCAGGCAAAGGAAACAGTGTCATTATAGAGCAACAAAAAGATTCTTACCAAAGCAACAAAGGAAAATGAAAATTAATAATTGCAAAAGGAATATAGTCATTTCCTGCAACTTACACATATATTACATATTCATTTACAGGTACTAGTACTTAACTTTCATATTAAAGACTGGTGATTAAAAAATTTAAAAAATTTAAAGGATTTCAGATTCTAAATAATTCCTACTTGTGCATATTCTACATAAAAGGTACTTAAACTAAATTGATCTCATAATAAACATTTCTCTGCCATGATAAATGTAATGGTAAATGACACAAAACAGAGGGAGTGCAGGTTTGAGTGAAGAGAGCCCTCAGTTACTAGCTTCTATAGGTATTCCTCCACAAAGGACAAGGGAGATTATAATTGAAATGATCCTTGTTCTACAACTTACATTTTCACTTAGAAATAAATATTTGGATTGAATATAAATTCTGCATTTTACAGTTAAGATTAGAAATCACTTTGTAACTGTTTAATTTTAATAAAAGTAAAAATCAACAGCAGGAAATATCAAGGTGTTATAGACATTTTTGTTATTTTGTAAAAGGGAGATAACCCTTACCTTTTCTCCATACTCGTTGTCTACTGTCATCATTTCACGTAAGGTCTGTAGAACCTTAATACACAGGCTCTCCTCCTTCTCCTCCAATAGACACTTGGTGTGACGAATCAGTCTAAAAAATAACGATCAGTTATAATTAATCATCACTTGGTGCGACGAATCAGATGATAGCTCAATATCAAGTATAACTTCATAGTTTATCAATTTTAAAATTAATGGAAATAAAACCAGAAGTCTCTGTAGAGACTGTAGCTCTACTGGTTTATAATTAAAACAAAGGAAGGAAAAGAAGCAGTTGGGACTTGAGACTTTAAAACAGCTGCAATAAATAGAAAAATGATCCTTGCCATCCATCAAAATAAAAACCTATGCACAGAATAATGTATCTTAGTGTAGTCTACTTGTGTGCCAAGTTATATTGAAATCAGACCAAAACTGTAGGAGGAGTAGCATTTTGAAAGAATTTCACAGAAATTTCTATTTTTAGAAACCATGGCAACACCGTTCATTGATATCAAAAACCGATGCACAGAATTATGTATCTTAGTGAAGTCTACTTGTGTGCCAAGTTATATTGAAATCGGACAAAAACTGTAGGAGGAGTAGCATTTTGAAAAATTGTTTACAGACAGACAGACAGACGGACGACAGACGCATTACTATCGCATAAGCTCTTCTGGTCTCTGACCAGTAGAGCAAATAAAAAGCAACAAACATGTACACTTCCTTATAATTTAATTCTGCAAAATTAACAACAAAACTAAATAGCACAATCTGTCTGTAAATACACTATAATGTTTTTTAAATTATATTATAGCTCATTCTGCAATAAAAATTTTTTTACTTGTTCACCATATCCCATCTCCATTTTCATTTCTACCTTGACACATTGTGTTAGCAGAAAGATAAACCTGTTACCAGGGTGAAAGGGTAAACAATGAAACAAAGGCAATAATGTGGAGACACCCAGCTGACCTTGAGATGAAGCCTCCGATCTCACACTTAGTGCCGGCAGGAAACAGCGCCTCCGGACAATGTAACACATCCACAAGGACAGATAACTCAGCCTGGACCAAGGGACGTAACTGCTTCTCCAACAGGGTAACAATGTCCTGAAACCAAATTTACCATTTGAAAAAAATACAAATCATTAAACAATTTATATTGGTAAATAGATTCTCTTTGGGAAAAAATTCTTTAGAAAAAGCCAATGCCCCTAATATTATGATGGTCCAGACCTCACTTGCCAAACTTACCTGTAGACCTTCGATGATGTTGCGGTAGTCCCGGGACACTGATGCTATAGACTCACGTTTGTTGACTCGGGAATTGATCCACAGTTTGGCTTTGTTCATCACGTTGTTAGATTTCTCAAACATTTGATTGACCTGACTGTCCAGGTCCACAGGAATGGCTATTCCTCGGTTTTTAGCTGTCAATAAATAAAAGATATCAATCATTGTAACAATGGATATACAGAGAAAACTATCTTATATGACACACGTACAAGCTATTTCTCTGTGAATTCCAAGCCTTATTCAAAGTCCTATTTTACTGTTTTATACATTTAAACTTAAACTGAAAATTTTTTACAGTACATTCAAATTCTCCCAATTGAAAACAAATAGACAGTCTCTCAATGCATGTTGGATTGGGCAGGTCTCAACACTAGCAATATGAAATATCTTTGACCACACATGAAAAAAAACCCTGATATTACCGATATCAGCAAGGCACTTTATACAGGTCTCCACGTGGAACTTCTGAGTGCCGGTCAACCACGGACAGTCCGACACACGGAACGCTCCCTGTAACAGCTTGACAAACACGGGCTGCCGGGACTGTAACAGACACACACAGACAGACAGATTAGTGGCAACAATAACAGAAAGAGCTAACACAGACAAATGACAGGGACTGCTGTAACATAACAGACTTTATAAACAATTTAAGTTCAATCTTAAATGCCCTGGGGCATGCATATTATATTTCAATGTACACATATCATTAAAACAATAAAAGAATTCAACTACATTCTCTGGAATATATCTTGACTGTATCAGTATAAACTGAGCACTCTTTTAGCCATTCAAAATAACTGAATCAAATATCAATACAACTTCATAGGCTTTTTTCCAGAAGCAAAATAAACTTTAAGTTATTTCAATTTCAATTTTTATAAATTGCTATTTAAATTTGCTATAAGCTAAAGGCATACAGTAACATAAAAGAAGAAGCAAAAATAACTTCTAGATCTAAATCCAAATTTACTAAATAGATCAAGGTCATGCTAATTGGGGGTTTTAATCTGCATTCTAACTAATTCTTCACATTTCTGATATCAACAACATAACTCCAACTGCAAATCAAAGAACTCCAGAAAACTTAAAGATTAAAGCAGGCTTCCTAAGCATACAATTTCATGAACAAAACTTAGATGCAAAGATAATTCATTCCTTTTTTGTCAATAATTACAAGACAAATTATGTATGCAGTTAATCACAAAAGTAAATCAGTCATGCACATGATACACCTATAAATTGTCCATTTACTCTGACAATAACATTTAATGCATGGAATATTATCCACAGAAAGCAATTGTAGCCATCTCCATAATATACACTGTATACAGGTATAATAAATCTCTGATTAAAATAAAATTAACAGCATCAAACATATACATATACAAGATCAACAGTCAAATCTGAATTTTACACTTAAAATATAACACTCACTAATACTTTATAGTAAATCATATTCCTCCTTTAAAAATTTACTCTTAAATCTTGTATCATACTCTTTCACTGTGATCATATCACACTTGTAGTTAATATAAATTAATTTAGACCCATAGGCCACAACTCTCATCTTGACCACCTTTTCCCCCTATCGATGACATAGTTCATTCCATATATCAAATGAATTATTTTGGCCTTCAACCTCAAGTCCATGATTGAAATGATTTTAAATTACAGTAATGTATAATTAAATTGATTATTGATGAACAATTTACATGAAAACTAAGTCCTAACATAAAATTATTCCACAAAATTCTGTACACATCTTCTGATTTATCACAGACTAACCTCTGCCATTGGGCCTACTTATCTGGACAATATAATCCCAAGACAAACTTTAATCAGAACAACTCACTTTTACTCCTGGTGATCTTTTTAAAGTACTGCATCATAAAAACTTAATTTTAGACTGACTCTTACAATAATTTAAAGGATCTCTTAATTTGACATTAAATATTTTCAACACTGGTAACATGCTTTATCATCAAGCTTTCGATATTCATAGTACTGTCATACAGATTATATACATGTACTGATTTATCACTTACTTACTCAGAATTAACTTTTTAAAATAAATTAGAATGTGGTGCTGCAGTGAGTTGAGAAGCATTCTGTGTGATAAAGGAACAGATTGTAATGAGTGGGTCAGTGAGAGGAGAATTTCTCTGGCTACAAACAAAGTCTAGTGTGAAAGACGGCTAGTATTACCGAGAAATAAAACAGTCAACAAATGAGTGCAGCAATGTGTTTGGTTTTGTAAAATTAAGTCAGTACCAATGCATCAAATGGGAGGAAAACACTGAATATATCCTAATTTGTACTAGTATTTCTATTTTAACATCAGATTGAGGTATTGTGCCAGATCTAGATCTATACTATGTTGTGCTTAATCATTAGATGTCAAGGGAGATAACTAGAGACTCAGAAAAAGCATGTAAACGGAGGTTACCTCCCCTTCCTATTCAGCACAGAAAGAAGAAAATCAAGAGAGAAATCTCTGTATAGTCCAGAAAGCTTTGTATATTGGTAGGTCTGAGTAGGTTGTCAATTGATAAAGTATGAAAAGAAGTAGGCTTTAATCATGTTTAATTTTATTGACATGTACAAGTGTCAGAGGTTAAGTAGAGTTTTAAAGACTGGTTTTAATTGCTTCACTACGAATATATTGTTGAGCTGGCTTGAAGATAAAAACCTGATATTTTGTACATACGTCCTGGAACAATAGAACACTAAACTGCAGACTTGTCACATAATATATTATACAAATATTCTACTCTAAAAACAATGGCATGTTAAAAAGAAAATCTGTATCTGTCCATTGAAATGCTCTGGGTTTTACCACTTAACTAATTCTGATTTGTACACTCTCCAAATTAAAGCTTCAATGATATTTGGAAAAATTCAACACAACATTATGGGTTTTTCCATTGATGAATATTTTTTTTTTATGAAAACTTCAATCATTTCACTGGACTTTCAAAATTCACATAAATATATATTTTATAGTTTTTAAGTCTAACAATTAAATCAACAAAAAAGATACTTGAACAATTAGATAATAGACTGTGTATATAATTATATATATATATGAACACAGACACACACACAGACAGAGGGGCAACACATCCAATACTTACTGATCTCTGACAGAGGAGAAAATAGAACAAAGATAAGATACAACATCTAACTGCAGAGAAAAAACCCACTTAAAGAGATATATTATTTTACAGTAAGTCCAACATCTACGGCTTTGTTACCTATGTTTCGGGGTGGGACTTACTTGTAGCGTCGTTGTCTGGTCAGAGAAAGGCGAGCTGAAGAAGGTGTCAATGACGCTCATTATAGTCACCGTCACGTAATTCTCCAGGGCCAGGTCCGCATGCTTCCTGTCTGTGGTTGCTGTAGATACCTGTAAAATCACTCCACATTTCAGATGTCTTCCGTACAATACATATTCAAAAATCTATCTAAAGGGCAAAAGATGTTAAGAGTGAAAGATTTCAGTCAGTGTAAACAATGAATTATGTAAAACAACTTTATTTGTACCCAAGAGAAGATCAAATGAATGGTTCTATAAAATTACCTCCATTGCCTAAGTATAAAGATCACATGACTTTTTTTCTGAAGAGTTACCTACCCTGCTCATGATTTTTTTTCTGTACAGTCACAGTTTCCTACTCTGTCCGAGTTAAGATCACATGATGTTTTTTCTGTACAGAATTACCTACCCTGCCCATGTTAAGATCACATGACTTTTTTTCTGTGAAGAGTTACCTACCCTGCCCATGGTAAGATCACATGACTTTTTTATGTTATACAGAGTAACTTACCCTGCCCATGTCATCCAGAAAATCCTGGAATAATGTCCACATGTGAGTACTGGTGTAGATTTCCTTCACCTCCACCTCCGTGTCAATGTAACAGTGGTTCAGGAAGTTAATGTATGCCGTCTTCACCTACAGACAGTATCATGTAAAACAGATCATGTCAAAAGTAAATACAAGATTCACAGTGAAACAATTCAATCTACTTCTGCAATCAGTTAATATCATGTAACACAGATCTTTCATGTCACTGATCGACTACTAAATTGAAATCGTACATGACAGGGTCCCTGTTTATGTCTGCTATACAATACTCATCATAAATCTTAGTAACATCAATTAATGTTATTTATTTATCCTTGTGAGTGACCAGTCTAACAATATCATCCAATCGGATTGATTGTTTATTATTGTTTAACGTCCCTCTTAAGAATTTTTCACTCCTATGGAGATGCCAATTATCCAATGGGAACAGAGAGATTATTTACCTCTGGTATACAGTCCTTGTGAGTGACCACTCTGACAATATCATCCAATGGGAGCAGGGAGTGACACTTGATCTCAGTGTACACATTTTTTCCCTCCGTACACAGGGCCAACAGCTGCACCAGGTTAATGTGGTAGATCAGGGGGCTGGCGGGGTCACAAAGGTCATGCTCAGATCGCATCAACTTCTCAAAGGTCTCAAAAGAGGATTTATCATTGTAGAAAAGCAAAACTTCCTCCCCGACGTTCACCAACTAAAATTACAGAAGTGTAGTCATTAGGACTAATGATAAGTCATAAGCCATGTGTAGTCATTAGAACTCATAATAAGGACAACTTAAAATACAGAAGTGTAGTCATGAGGATTTAGGACTATTGTAAAACAGTAACTTTTTTTTCACACATAATCCTCTAATGAGGAAATACAGTATGAATGAATGAACAATCACTACCTCTGCCATCACCATGTCCTGTGTCTTTTTGATGTACTCGCCCTCCGCCTTAACCACGGTCTGTAGGAACTTGAGGTAGGGCACGTGACGGCCCTGGGTCTCGATACAGTGGACAAAGTGTTGTATGACACGCTCCGTGACCTCATTACACAGGCTCTTGTTGTCGTGGAAAATAGCTGTCATTGTCGCAGCATCCAGCAACTAAAGGACAGGGAAAAAAATCAATTCATCTGTGTATGATGTCATTGAAATTTCAATACACAACATACACATGAACTAATAATGTTTAATGTTGAGTTATCTGTATACTGTTCATTAATGGCAAAAAGGAAGTTATCTCTAATAATTTCTCATAAATATTGAATAAGCTGAAGTTAAAGACTTGCTCCATCTACCACTTCCCCCCCCCCCTGAAGTCAAAGCACTGTATCACTTTGACCTGTTTTCAATTTATTACCCTTGGCTGGTTTGGGAACAATTCTAAATTCATTTAGACCATCTTTAAAACATTGCTTGGTTGCCATCTCCTGACCGACTAAATTTCTAAAAAAATATATTCCAGGACACAATATTTTTTGTTCAGTTTGGCCTGGTTTGATTAACTAATACTGTACGAGTTCTTACCCCTGGGGTTAGGAACAGTTCTAGGTACTGGTGCAGTAGGGCCTGGTTTGGTGTATTTATACTGAGTTCTTACCCCGGGGGTAAGGAACAGTTCTAGATACTGGAGCAGTAGGGCCTGGTTTGGTGTAGTAATACTTACCCCTGGGGTAAGGAACAGTTCTAGATACTGGTGCAGTAGGGCCTGGTTTGGTGTAGTAATACTTACCCCTGGGGTTAGGAACAGTTCTAGGTACTGATGCAGTAGGGCCTGGTTTGGTGTAGTAATTCTTACCCCTGGGGTTAGGAACAGTTCTAGGTACTGATGCAGTAGGGCCTGGTTTGGTGTAGTAATACTGAGTTCTTACCCCTGGGGTGAGGAACAGTTCTAGGTACTGATGCAGTAGGGTCTGGTTTGGTGTAGTAATACTTACCCCTGGGGTCAGGAACAGTTCTAGGTACTGATGCAGTAGGGCCTGGTTTGGTGTAGTAATACTGAGTTCTTACCCCTGGGGTGAGGAACAGTTCTAGGTACTGATGCAGTAGGGCCTGGTTTGGTGTAGTAATACTGAGTTCTTACCCCTGGGGTGAGGAACAGTTCTAGGTACTGATGCAGTAGGGTCTGGTTTGGTGTAGTAATACTTACCCCTGGGGTTAGGAACAGTTCTAGGTACTGATGCAGTAGGGCCTGGTTTGGTGTAGTAATACTGAGTTCTTACCCCTGGGGTGAGGAACAGTTCTAGGTACTGATGCAGTAGGGTCTGGTTTGGTGTAGTAATACTTACCCCTGGGGTCAGGAACAGTTCTAGGTACTGATGCAGTAGAGCCTGGTTGGGAGGATTAGCCAGACAAAAACTCTGCAGAAATTCGTGAGCGTACTTCATCACCTCATGCATTCTAACGTCTTCATTCTACAACATAAAAATATCATAACTCTTACCCAGAGTCATCACGGTAGACTATAACACAAATATAATAAATTATAGTAGAAGAAACTTACATGTATGTCAGCTCTCACAGTTACATACATTTTTTTTAGAAAATTTCATAAAAATACTGGTTTTCTTAATATTCAATATGAAAAATTACTAACTTTAATAACTTATGTGCATACCCAAAAGTGGGTTACTATATACCCTCAATTTTCATTGCAAAAGGACAATAAAGAGCAGCTACTCCCATACATACTAGTACTCTCATACAGTATATATATATATATATGAGATTATGCCAATTTCTCTCACCGTTTCGTATGAGATCTGCAGTAATTCCAGGACGACATTGGGAGCGCTCATGTTCCTCAGTAGTCTTTGTTCGTGTTTCCTTGGTTTCTTCACACCGGGCTCTGCTGTGTCCTGGATACACAGTTTAGTCAGCCTCAACAAAATCTGAAACGATTATAGAAAGATTGGTCAAATAGATGTTCATTTTTATCAAAACAATGTGAAAAAAATCTGTTTTAAAGCATTCAAATTTTAAGACAAATTACCTACGACAGATTTTAATTACCTGTTTGATTTTTTTGTAGTTTTCTGCTGAGGTTGGGTCTATGGGTGGTCCTAAATCTAGATCAATAGCCGAGCCCCGCTCTCCAGAAAGATTCTACAGAAATCAGATACAACATTCTATAAAACAAAGTCCATCTACTTGTCCTCTGTTGTGTATTAGACATTTTTGCCTTTGAATGTTTGTTTTACTAGGTCAATACCCTGGCATACAATACATACCACCTAAAATTTATCCACACATACTACAAGTACTCACCCACATAGACAGCTGATGTTTGGTTTTTTTCTTTCCTTCTCCTTCACCTTTCTCTTCTTTGTTTTCCTAAAATAATGATTTTCATTCCTTAGAAATATTTTAAATTTTAAAAAATCTTATACAAAATGCTGCTATTTGAAGAACAGTTTATATTTTAAGTGGTTATTTTTTCTACCCTTCTGCTCTTCCTTTTAACACCCCTTTATTTATTGTTAGCCCTTACCTTATCCTCCCCACTATTTTTGTGTTTTTTCTTGCTATCGTCGTGTTTGACCTTATAGACCCAGAGTTCCGATTTCTCGACCAGATTGCGGAGTTCGTCGAGGTCGGTCTTTATCTGTTTGTAGTTCTCCACGTCACTGGCCGTCACCAGCAACTGAACCTGTACAGAAGGAATGAAAGGATGGAATAAGATCCATAGGTTTTATACACCTGTTTCATTTTGTATGTTTTACACAATCACCTGTTTTTACTTAGCAAGTCTTGCACACCCATTTTATAAAGCAGACTTTACACACCTGTTTTAGACACCTGCTTATTTGATTTTGTAGGTTTCACAAACCAGTTTGTTTACACCTTTTATATTTTTACACACCTGCTTGTATTTTTATTTTTGCACACCATTTTCACACACCTGTTTGTTTATTTTAATTCACCTACCTGTTTGTTTATTTATTTTTACACACCTGTTTATTTACATTTACTTACCTGTTTGAACGCCATGAGGACCTCCTGTCTCTGACTGAAGTGTCGGAACAGAAGCTGTAGGGCCCCGGACACCAGGGTGGGGTAATTGTGCATCACCAGGTTCAGTAGCACCCTCAGAAACATCTTCCCTCCCTGCTCATCTAGGTCAAGCTTGGAGGTCTCAGCACTGACACAGAAAAAGATATCTCATGATCAGGACTGACATAGAAAAAAGGTTCTTTTATGAACATGACCATAGTTTTTATATTACTGCATTAAATAGACTGCAATAGTTTAATCAAATTTCAGTTCTAGAATAGTAAGAAGAAGTACCGGGTACATGTATTCCTCTTTCCATAACAACTCAGATCAAATCACAAAAAATACTTGTGATAATGTTTTCTTACAATCTCTCCTCCAGTTAAAACACCACAGATTGAGGCACATACAACCTCCAACAATAAAATGTGATATAATAATTTATTATCCCCCCTCCCAAAACACAAACACTCTCAGATGAACACACAACCTCCTACAGTAAATTTTAGCACTTTTGACTTTTAACCTTTTAGTATGTCCTTGACCCAATTTGAACTCTTTTAGGGTTCAATACTTAAGGTCAGAAAGACATTGTTTTGGGGACTATTTTTCAGTCCACGAGAGATAAAACAAATCCTTACTTTCCTCCAAAGATGTCCTCTGCCTGCTGTCCTATGCTGTCTAAGTCTAGACCTACAACAAAAATAGTAAAGCTTGTCATTAAGTCGAGTACATGGTTAGTAGATAAGAAATCATTGAGAGAATTAGTTTTAGTTTTTGTAAAGAAGAAAAAAAATTGTTCTGCATTACAAACATTATCTAAAAAAAATGAATGCTTTATTTAAAATGAAAATATTACAGTGGAGAGAAAGTCTATAGAAATAAATATAATTAAAGCAAATTGCAGCTGATTAAAAAATTAAGTAAAGATAAACCCTGAATTGAAATGAAATATATACCACAAAGGTAATGCATGCAGTGCAATTCAAAGACTGAATAAACAAAGTGCACCAAAGAGATTGATTACAGAAAAAAATGAATAATTACAGATCATAATGTAAATGTATCAATTTCGATTAAATATTTTTGAAAATGAAGGAAAACTGAGATAAAATTTAATCCTTAAACAAAATTAATAAAACAGAATCTTTTGAAACCAGATTAATATACATGTACTACTGTAGCACAGTACCTCTAAATTAGATTGCAATTTACATATACCATATTTAGTTACATAAAGGTCACAAATAAGTACACAATCATGTACCAGACAAAGTGCATGGGAAGTTAGTACAGGTATCGAGTCTTATGTGGGCAAGATAGATAACTCTAGCCTACTACAAGATCAGCCAAATCAAGCATCAAGTTACACCTATTCCTAATTTCCACTGACAACAAATATTTGGGAACACGAAACCAACACAAACAATGGCCACTACAACATCATGCTCCTCTGAACTAATTTCTGTTATAAATTATATGGAGATCCATCCCTTCATTAATCACTTAATGAACTTTTAACATTAAACAATCGAACAATAATGAGAATTAGTTCAGAGGAATTTCTGGTTGTTAAACAGCTGAGAACCCACAAATGACGTCGGACTTTTCGTCGGCAGGCTGCTGTTCTATCTGACATTTAAACATAGAGAGAATCCAAGTCAGGCGGTAGTCCAAACGAACCTGCATCAAGTACTGCAAATAAACCACAAGAAGTACATCATATTCTGTAAGATAAAAACCCAAGACCACCCTCACTGCAGGCCATGAGATATAAATCTACATTATTGAAATATATGTGTTGGTTCATGCTTATATCTTGAATATAGGCACTCTATATTTACAGGGTCAATAATGCATTTGGTTGTCATGTCAGCCAAAAGGGGAAAGGTATTGATCATGTTGGCAGGCAACAAGGTCAAATCCATAGCAACCTTAAACACACAACCCAAAACAGAAACACCTGAAATTCAACAGAGTTAAATGCGAGCAGAGGGTCATGACCTTTTCACCTTGACCTAATTACTTCTTCATATGAAATGAAAATGAAGACTTGGTATACAACAGCTAAGGGATTAATTTAGAGAGTATTTATTTTTCCTGACATAAATTTTTCATTTGAAATTGATCTAGAATGTTATGAAGAGGTCATGACCTGCCTGTAATGTTTTTGTTAGTGGTAGTAAAGCGTGAAGCGAGTAGATAGAGATACTGGCTGTGTTTACCATCCGTGTCCCGGGGAGCGTTATTCTCGTCAAACTCTCGTTTAAATATCGAGAGGAGACACGTAATTCTGTAGTCCAGCCGAACATCCAAAATAAACTGAAAACACGATCAAGGAGGTCAAAAACTGTACCCATCTGATGTTCACAGACACTTCAGATTCAATAGGTCTTGTAACAAAAAAGGCTATCAAAATATTCAGATTTTTAACCATAGATAAAGCAGAAAGGTTATTACAGTAAGTTGAACGTTATTAAGCAAAGGCATGATTTTTTTCCCCAAGTTTTCTCCCCCAGTGTAACTATTTAAACATAATTAAGTGGTCCAACTAACATAAAGTTAACTGAAAATTCTTATTTAAAATAAACATTATGATTAAAAAGAAAGCTATCACAACAACAAAAATTCTAATATAATGTACGTAAAAGGAATTATTGAGCAAAAAGTATAGCCTTAGAATACAGGATATCAATTTAACCAAACAAATAAATATGCATTAAAAGCTATTGTCACCTAGAAGAATTTTTAAAATCTGTGTTATATGAGTTAATTTCCATTATCTGATTTAACTCTGATAAAAGCATAAAATGCTTACAAATTATAATGATTACAGAGTTTGTGTGTAGAGTTACCTTCAGGATTTCTATAATTTTAAGTTTGGTATCCATGACGATTGTATCCACCTCTTCCTCGACCTTTTTAGTGGCCGGAATCACCTCTGATATAATGGCCTTGTCTGGTTCTGAGGAAGATAAAAGCTGAATTACCACAATAATTATCATCATTAAACATATAGCCTTTAATTTTCTTAACTTTTTCCAAATCTAACACCTACAGACAGATTGTATTGTACAGGGTTTGGACTGAGTCTACTCTCATTTTTTACACTAAAAAAAACACACATTCATATAAAACTGAAACATCATGGCAAGCCTTATGTAAAAGTTTATCATGTGACTATAATGTGACAATATGAGCTGTTTCATTGGTCCCCTTACCGTCCCCTACAGATACGACTGGTCGGGCGGCGGGGGAGATCTCTTTCTCGGGGATGGTGTCCAGTATACTCAGTAGTGTCTTAGTCAGTCTCAGGAGATCACTGAACGAGTAAAAACCAAAGTAGATCAACTGCTTGGCTAGGTTCACCACCTGTAATAGAGAGCAAAGGGAAAAGGTCAAGGTCAGGGATAAATATTCATGGAATCAATAAACATAAACTAGCTGGTGCTGCTATTTCACAATCCTCTTTTTCATTTACAACTAAATAAAAATCTGCCTATTCAGTTCCCCTTTTTCCCTGAAAGTTTGTGTTTTTTATGTCAGTAAGTAGTGTTTCATATTGGAAAATGCTTACTTCATGTCAGTTTGTTTTGTTTCTTGTCATTGAAATGATGCTAATCTGGTATGTCAGATTGTTTTGTTTTTTGAAGGGCGAATTCTTACCTCCTACATCAGTAGGCTTTGTTTTTTGTCAGCGAATGTTTACTTTGTACCTCAGATTGTTTTGTTTGCTTACCTCGTATGTCAGTTTGTTTTGCTTCTTAGCTCGAAGGTCATTTTTTTTTGTTTGTTGTTGGCGAATGCTTGCCTTGTACATCAGTTTGTTTTGTTTTATGTCAGCAAATGCTTACCTTGTAGGTCAGTTTGTATTGCTTCTTACCTCGAAGGTCATTTTTTTTTGTTTTTTGTTGGCGAATGCTTGCCTTGTACATCAGTTTGTTTTGTTTTATGTCAGCAAATGCTTACCTTGTAGGTCAGTTTGTTTTGCTTCTTACCTCGAAGGTCATTTTTTTTTGTTTTTTGTTGGCGAATGCTTGCCTTGTACATCAGTTTGTTTTGTTTTTTGTTAGCAAATGCTTACCTCGTAGGTCAGTTTGTTTTGTTTCTTACCTTGTACGTCAGATTGTTTTGTTTCTTACCTTGTACGTCAGTTTGTTTTGTTTGCTTACCTCGTACGTCAGTTTGTTTTGTTTCTTGTCGGCGAATGCTCCGTCGTGTGACACCACGTTCAGTAGGTAGTCCTCTACAAACAGGATGGTGGAGGCAAACTTTGGCTTGACTCTCTCCTTCTCCGGGTCCTTACCAATGTTAGACTCGTAGCTGTAATGACAAAACAAACTCTGTACTTACAGTAAATATCAATATTACTTGCATTATGAGACCAGTATAATTATATAGTTATATACTACATGGCTGTTTTAACAAACAATAAAGAGATTGTTACAGCCAGTCTTTTATGAATTTGCTGTAGATTTTATCTTACTTAAGTTGTTTGCACAAGATGTGATTTCATTATGAAATACAATTTAGTCTACGGTAATTGTTAAGCAATTCACTGAATGTGTCATAATTTCAATTAAAATTCATCTTAGTTCACAGTCACTGAGAATTATGAAAATCTGTGGAAATGATATTACATATATTTGTTAAGTTCCTATATGGATCTCTAGGAATCAGTTTAAAAATTATATTTAATTAAAACAATTATTTTACAAGTGTCCAAGAAACCAAGCAGTGTATGTTAGATTAAACCAAAATATGCAAGTCAGACTCAGATACAACTGTGTTAGTCAAGTTATACATCAACTAAATCTACTGACAATATATTACAGAGGCGGGAGGAAAAATAGTGATGGCTTGAAAAAAAAACATTTTATATGGCAGAACATTTTAAACACTGAATTGAAAGATAAAAGTGAAGTCTGAGTGACACACATACTTCTCACTCTCGATATTATCATATCTGAAATACAGGGCTAACAGTTAGTTCTCCGTAAAGTTACAGTAAGTTCTCCATAATATGAGAGAGATCCATACATCATTTCCCGTCGCTAAATCAATTTACTTTAACTCTACTGTTTATCCATAGTATATCTGTCAAAAATCGCTTGATTTCTAAAAGCATAAGATCCAAATTTGATATAAGGCATCATAAACAATGACAATGTGGGTGGTTTATAAATTTATAAAGAATGAATCATGTCAATGGTTGCATACAGTTAGCAATGTTTTCACAAGAAAATATTAATGAACATACTCATGCAACAAAATTAAAAATAAATATTAATAATTAAATTCAAAACTAAGCCAATAGTAAACAAAGTTCAATCAAAATCATCAATATTACATGCTGAAAATACAGACATATAAAAATGTTAGGATCTGACACAAAATACCAAATGCTCAGAACTGGCTTGATACAGGGAGATAACTCACTCTTCTATGGAGATCTGGGTTGGAATCTCGGACCACAGTCTGGCGTACTTGACGGGTTTGATGATTTCCTGGGGGTCGCGGTCTACGTGCATGTGTAACATCAGTCGACAGAACGAGGCTCTCAGGTCATAGGGCAGGATTTCATCTGACATACACCTGACACAGAAATATATTAAATATTTCTTAACACACTGACAGACAGACAGAAATTTATTCATTAACACTGCTCTCAGGTCATATCAAATATTTTGTCTTTAAAACTATCACATCTTCTTCACACCTGGCCTACTGATTCACAATTCCTATATCATTTCATAAGAAATACATTTCACAGACAGACAGACAGAAACTTTGCTCTCAGGATTGGTCTATGGAATATTGTCAAACACCTGACACAGAAATAATAGATTACTTAACACAGACAGACAGACAGAACAAGGCTCTCAGGTCATAGGGCAGGATTTCATCTGTCATACACCTGACACAGAAATAATAGATTACTTAACACAGACAGACAGACAGAACGAGGCTCTCAGGTCATAGGGCAGGATCTCATCTGTCATACACCTGACACAGAAATAATAGATTACTTAACACAGACAGACAGACAGAACAAGGCTCTCAGGTCATAGGGCAGGATCTCATCTGTCATACACCTGACATAGACATGTTGATGTAATATTAAATATTTCTTATCACAAACTGATGTCTCATTATCCATCATTTTTATATTTCCTTCATTTATTCATCAACACTGTCTTGAAATTCATTCTTCAAATCAAATATTTTGTTTCTAAAACTATTAAACTTTCTTCACACATGGACTACTGATTCACAGTATCATTTCATAAGAAATACATTTAATTTCCTAGGAAGTTACCTTTATGTGAACTTTTCAGCTGATTGGTCTATGGTATGTTCAAACTGACCTGAGAATGAGATCGATTTCCAGATCTTTGGAGAGCTGGTTGATGGCGATGTACTGACGATCCAGACACATGTGTGAGAACAGATCCAGCTGATGCCTACAGACAAAGGAACATGTTAAAATTCATCATCAATCCTCAGAATTATTCTTAAAACTTACAAAAGAAATAGCCTACTTCCTCTAAAAAGTTAATTCACCAAACAATAAAGTTAATCAATACAATGACGAAATTAAACTTTGGGGCTCTTTTCTTTATGTAGGATTTTTTGGAAAACCTAATTTTTTTATTGTTTAAGTTTTAAAAAGTGTAATGTGTAATACTTGCAGTGTTACAAAAGAATCCTTTTTCGACCCCCCCAGCCATCCTCAAAATCCCATTTCCTTTCACTCTGAAAAATGAGTATTACCTGTAGTACTCAAGTACAGCTGAGTCCTCTGACATGAGTTTTACCTGTAGTTGTCTAACCCGAGTTTCACCTGTAGTTCCGGTCATACTTGATATACAAAGTTTTACCTGTAGTATTTTTTCGAGTACAGCCTTCATCCCCTTCCCCTCCATGTTAGTCTCTCATGTTATCCCTTTATAAAAGGGATTGTTACTCTAGCCTATACTGACAAGTTCCTGTTGTTATACTTAAGTTTCTGGATTAAGGACTGGTGTTATTATTGCCCCAGTCCCAGTACAACATGACGACCTCATCCTCCTCTATTGTAACAATCGGCTCAGAGGCCGGGATTCCGTCCGCCGTCTCGACCTCCATCTCAACCTCCATCTGGGTCTTCTCCAACCTATAAATAAAACGGAGGGAACTCAGTACAGGTTGTAACGGGCATCATTTACAATCCATGTTAGTCTTTGACATGCTTATCCTACTTTATACATAGAATTGTTATATACTCATACTGACATTCTTTGTTTGTGTTATAAATAAGTATGCATGTAAGATTAAAATTCTGGATTAAGGACTGGTGTTATTATTGAGATGTAGATCCACTTTAGTAAAGAATTCAGATTTCATGATTAACTCTTTAGAAGATTCACATTTAGTCTTGTTTTCAATCCACATAACAAATTTATGAATTTTTCAGCGTATTCTTTTACATCATTTAAAACTTTATTATAATACACAGACTTACAAACAAATAGGTTTTGTAACTTTCTCGACAGAAAGTATCTTGAAAGTATGTTGTAAATATGTTACCAGTATACATTGACTTCCATCAGCAAGCTTATAAATGAGAAACTTAAACGACTCCCAGAAGCTCTTTATAAATTTCAACCTCTACTCAATGATAAGCAAAGTTAACATGACTGTAAATTGTAAACTTAGGTTAAAGCCAAAGTGATTCTTTGAAGCTCTTTCTAGTAAAAAATTCATTTCCTCTTTCTAGTAAAAAATTCATTTCATATTAAATTAAATCTTGTATTGAATGGATAACTGTTTTTCTATATAATTGTTCTCAAATCTTGATTATTTACAAAAAAAAATCACAGTGTGGAATTTCAGCAAGATGACATCAATTTGTAGATTTTTTCAACAGAATGAATAATTAAAATTTACATTAAAATCATTAAAATCAGACAGCACTTTGATTAACTGGCAGTAATTAGCCACATTCTGAATTCATTCAGTTCCATATTTAATTTTAAGTTTTTGTCTGAGTTGGAAAAACAGCAAGCCTACACAACTCCCTCATAATATGATTAAGAAGGTCATGTATAATATTATAATATATGTGATTAATGATTGAAAATATATTTGTTAATCATATATTTACTTACAGGGGACATGCATAAATGAAAATTGAAAGAAGTTAATTTCTTATAGGGTATAATATTGACTAAAGTGTATTTAAAAGTATATCTTAAGCAATATATAAAATAATTATTTTTAATTATTTATAAACCACTAGAAAAATAATCAACAAAATAAAGTAATAGCTCCTACAAAATCATGAATTTCAAAGGAATTTGTATATATATATATATAAATGATTATTATTGAATTAAAATGTAGACTTTATCATCTTTAGTCTGTTGATGTTGTGTTCTGCACTACAGATTCATGCTTTTCATATTTGTAAAAGCATATGTTCATAGAAAATGTAAAGTACTAGGTACTATAGTTAAATGTCTCAGTCTTTAATACAAAATGATATACTTACTTTGGAATTTTTCTCTTAGTTTCCGTTCTATTGCAAAATTTATGAAATGTTTACAGAACATTCAAATGCATGAAAAAAAATGATGAAATTCAGATTCAACATTTGAAAAATATTCTACATCCGGCACATATAGTGATACGACTTCCAATTTGGACAATCGTGTAACTAATTGTGTACAGAGAGATGATATAAGAACATGACAGACATGATACTGTGAGACTATATAGTGATGTTGACGGTTGCTATGGTACCGACCTTGTTTCTATGAGGATGTCCTTGTTCTCCTCCAAAAGTAGACAGTTACAGATGAGGTCCTGTGTAGCGGGGATGGCCACATTGTTAGAGACGCACAGCACATAGAGGTAATCTAAAAATCTACAAAACACAGAGTACATACATAGATCACTTAACTATCTCCTGCAAGTATTAAAACTTAACATGCTAAAAATTATAAAATAGATCTTCAGTTGCAAAAATAAAAGTATGTTTAAATCGTTCATTCCTTATCTGGTAACATGTACAAATTATACATAAATTATGTAAATTAACAAATGTTTTTATGAGACAGTTGATCATGGTATCATATTTTTAATTGAATCCTTTTATTTACAATAGCAGTAAATCAGATCTTCCCTCTAGCAGACAGACCTGGGTTTTTTGTTTTTGCGGACGAGGCTGACGAACGTCTCTATTTCCTGTTTGGTGATGTGGGCCTCCAGTAACTTCCTGTTGTTGTTTAGCAGTGCTGTGATCGTCTCCTCGGCCAGGACGTCGTATCCGATCTGCTTCTGCATGAAGGCAAAGTGTTTGGCAATGTACTCCTGTAATACAAAGAGCATGAAGAATTGTTATATATATAAAAGGGAAGAGATGTTTGTAAAACATTTATGCCACCTTACCCTCAAATAATTGGAATTATTCTTATGATATAACTATATGTACACCAAATTTTGTTTCAATATTATGTGCAAGTTTTGCAAAGAAAATTAACAGAAACCTCTTTGAATAATTAGAATTTTTCAAAATCCAAGGGGTATAATTTTAACTGTCCAAATTGTCAATTCAAATAAATATTGACATAATATTTGGTTTCTCAATCAATCAGTTAATTGCACAAATAAGAATAAATAGAAAAATTCTTTACTGACAATTTTGTTTAAATTAAACTAAATTAATGATTTCCAAGTTCTATATTTTCTGTAAAAAAAATTTCATTATGTCAACTGATAAGTTTTACTTATTGACTCATAATTTAAATATGTGTACAGAAGAAATAAAAAATAAATATATATATGCATGAACTTATATGGGTTTTTTGTTAATAAAAATAATTATACTTTTTAACTGTCAGCTTTTCTTCAATTAATTATCAGAAAGAACTTTTAAATTAATTCTTTCCTAATCATAATGAATATCCTATTCTTTATATACATGAACCTATATGTTTTATTTTGATTATTTCTTTTTTTTATAATCTTATTATACTTTCTCATTGTCAGCTCACCTTCAATGCATTATCAAAAAGAAGTTTAATTTCTTCCAAGTAATCAAATGAATTTATTTCTATAAATTAAATTAAAGTCTCATAAAGTATGAATTTTCAATTGTAGATTGAGCAACTAATCCCTTGCATATTTTACTGTAACACCTATAATTTATACCCAAGCTATCACTGTATCTTAATTTCCCCCTAACTGAATAAATGTATAATTACTTAATTACCCTCGCCTAGTATACACACTGTAACTGCATCCAGTATCAAAACACAATACTTAATAAATTAATTAATTATCCTTTTAACATGGTTGTAAACAAGCAGATAATTTTGTTAATGCACATTAATAAACTGGACCAAGCAAACAAATGCAGAGAGACAGTAATTACAGACTCCTGGTTTGTGGGGGAGAGGAGACTGACACCTGCAGGCAGAGAGACTCAGGTAATGGGGAGCAGGTGCCCCCTCCCTGTATATAAATCCTGGCCTGGTCAGTCCCCAGCATCAAAGCCTTGATTCTCACAAAGCAAAGAATAAAGCAATCTAAGTATTCTGAACTTGTGACAGAAAGTTCCCATAGAGTTTATAGTGTGTGCACTAAACTAAGATTTCACAAAGATTTCAATAAATATTATATAGATTTAATAAGAAATCTTTTGTGATCTGTCAGAGAGAAGAGAATTCAGCTTCAACATGGAAGGTGAGTTTTCTCATCCTGGTTTTAGGGCCGTCCCCCAGGGTCATCACTTCTACAGTACAGCCCAGAGGTACGTCCAGCATCAGTATCCAACAACACAGAGGTACAGCGCCTACCCAAAAGTTCAGCCCCAGTACTACAGACACAGCTTTCCTCCTCAGCACCACGTCACAGAGAAGATCTTCTCCCCTCCAGCCATCAACTTCCAGCGAGGTCCAGCAGACACAGCATTCCACCCACAGAACATGTCTACGCAGGTGCCGTCCTCCTTCAACTTCTTCCACCACCTGCAGAGTAACCCCATGTTTGGACCTCTCCAGGAGATCCTCGCAGAAGAATGTCTCCACTTCCACCGCCCCTCTACCCTGGTACAGACCGTGACCCAGGACTACAGTGGATACAGCGTGTCCTGTCAGCAGAAGCTACAGATCCACAGAACTCAACCAGACTTCAATCACAGCTCCCTCCTCCAGACAGACCCAGCTCAGCAGTTCTACAGCTCACAGTGTGCTTCAGTGTCCCAGTGCATGTCCGTGTCATCCTGTGCTTCCAGTGACCTTCCTCTTCCACACATACCACCATCCTCATCAGAATCAACTTCATCTTCAGCATCATCACGATCAGTGAAATCCAGCAGACGTGCCCTTGACTTCACCACCACACCAGACTCCAAAGTCATCACCACCTCACCTCCAGGTCAGACGTCGTCTGCCATCTCTCCCAACTCCTCTCAGCTCAACTCCAGCAGCAACAGTTCCTCATCCGAGCAAGAAGTGGATTCTGGGATTTATGTCGACACCAGCTTATCCTTCCAAGTTGACAGTGGTGTGGACCTCCTCCAGCAGGCCAGTGATCTGTGTGGGATTACAGAAGAGGACATAGCTCCTCCCCTCAGTGACACGTCATCCACCAGTGATAACAGCCAGAGAGTCAGTCCACCTACTGCTGTGTTGCCTACAGTCCCAGTGCTACACGAGTTCGATACGACACGACACGAGACCGTCTTCAATTCCACCAGCTCTTCCCACTCCAGCCTGAGTGACTACAGCCCCATCAGAAGTGATGAGATCTTCACCACCAGCCCAGAGGACGTCCTGCCCAGTAACGCACTGAAGAGGAAGAGAGAAGAGACAGAGGAGCCAGACAGCAAGAGGAACAGGACCGATTCCACAGGCCTGGACTCCACTCAAGTGCTGAACTCCTGGTACCAGAGCCACATCCACTACCCCTACCCTACAGACCAGGAGGTCCAGGAGCTGGTCAAGATGTCCGGTCTGACTCACAAACAGGTCAAGAAGTGGATGGCCAACAAGCGAGTCCGCTGCTTCAACACCCTGTCCATCACCGGCAACCAGCATCCGATCAAGTTCAAGAACATCAAGAAGAAGGAGACACCTGCTTTCCAGCCCATGCCTGCCGAGTCACGAGACGTTCTGAACCAGTGGTACTCCGCCAACGAGAGCCATCCCTACCCCACCGAGGCACAGAGACAGGAGCTGGCCGCCCAGACCGGTCTGACCGCCCAGCAGGTTAAGCGGTGGCTGTCCAACAAGAGGAGTCGAGCCAACAACACACGGAGACAGATCCCTAACTACTTCATCAACAAGTTCCCTGAGTACAGCCACCAGGTGGAGCTGGTCAGCAGGAGTCGAGAGTTCCTCAGGATGTCCAAGAGGAGACAACTGGACGACGCCCTCGACTGCCTCAGCAGGATGTGAACGGTCAAGAAAATTTAGTGATTTTGACTACTGAACATTTATTGTGCATTGTGAACATTTATTGTGCATCCATCATTGTTCATATATCATTAATATTTATTCTGTTCATTGTAAATAATCATACTTATTTATTATCAAATCATATCATTTGTAAATATAGTCATACTTATTTATTATCGATGTCATTTGTAAATAATCACACTAATTTATTATATATCATGACATTTGTAAAAGGTCTTATTATAAATTATGTCATTCTCAAATTTCAAATGTATGAATTTTAACATTACACTTGTATTTGTAAAAGAATTCATATAGAAAATAAAAGGATAGAAAACAAATATGGGGTTTTTCCTTTTTTTACCCCCATTTTTTTATGAGGTTTTAAAGTGAAAAGGATAAGGAAAAGGATTTTGCAAAAATGAAAATGTGAACATTCATCATGTGACACAACAACAGAATTTCTTGATAGACGTGCTTAGTAATGTGGAATCACAATTATATATCCTGATGATAAGAGTTTTGATTTTTTTCATGAGATACCTGATTTTTCCTGTAATCTTGCTGGGACAGCCTCAGTATATGGTAACACAGTTTACAGATCTGTCGGAATGGTTGATGTCTTTGATGAGCCAGCTCCTCCATCTCTACTATAGGATTCTTACCACCAAACGGGGCCTTCAGAATCTGGAACACCTACAAACACACAACAAACAGTGTGAAAGTAACAAGTCAGGATCTGGAACACCTACAAACACACAGACAGATGTAAAGTATCAAGTCAGGATCTGGAACACCTACAAACACACAAAATATATATAAATAAATAAATAAATACAAATAAGTAAATTGATGACTGTAAAACATTGTAAACTCTTGTAGTAATGAAAACATGAGGTTATGGTAAGTTTATTTCGTTTGAATTATTTAGTCTATTAACATTTTTTGAAGTTAATTTAAATTTGAAGCACAATAAAATTTTCTTTTTTGAAAAAAATTTTTACCAAATGTTGGAACTTTGCTGCATTTGGTACTTTTTAACTATCTAAATTTTAATATGAAATGGCCTAGCAGAGCATTTTGATTTTCTCACTTTTCACTCCTATATTTTGTAGTTTTACTGGACATGTTTTGTAGTAAATGATGGAAATCTTTCAAAGCCTTTGCCTTATATTTGTATTGCCATGTAATCAAACACAACCAATCAACAATCGCACGCGTATATCATCTTTCTTTTTCCCGAGAATTTACGGCTTCACTTCTTATTTAATTTATTTAAATAAATTAGCTCTCTGAAAACAAATAATTAAAGCAAACCAAAAATAAGGGTAGAAGACAGCCAAAGGTGAACCCCCATAATTACTGTATAAACACTGTCACAAGCAATTACGGTCATTTAGAGGCATAGGAAACCCTATTTACTGCATGTAAAAGTGCAAGGAGGATTTTAAGTTTTAAAACAGATTGTTTCATGCATAAATGAATAAGTTAAGAATATTTAAAAATATACATCCGAGTAACCGAATACCGATTTTAATCGGTACTCGGTTACTCTGATGTATATTTTTGTATGTTAACCGGGTACTCGTTGACATCCCTAATTTTTACCGATTATTTGCTACGGTACTTTTTAACTATCTAAATTTTAATATGAAATGGTGTACTCATTTTGATTGCTCATTTTTCCTCATGTTTATATTCTCTACATTATTTTGCTTTCCCCCACCCCTTCTCTCTGCCTGTCTCACTTGTTTGAGGATGTTCTACTCCGATCCCCCCGCCCCCCCCCCACACACACCCTACCCCCCAGTCTCACTTGTTTGAGGATGTTCTACTCCGCTCCCCCCCCCCCACACACACCCTACCCCCCAGTCTCACTTGTTTGAGGATGTTCTGTTCCCTGAGCAGTTTCTGCCGCTCCCTGCAGTCCTTGGATTTCGTCATCTCCACCTTTAGGGGGTCCCCAGTAGAATTATGTGACTCCTGCATCGTCACAAAGTAGATCAGATCAGACAACAGCTGGGTCACAAACCTACAACATAAAGTCACTGTATGAAGAGAATTCTTTTCCAATGGAATCTAAGTTAACTATATAGTTTACATGTAATCCAGCACCAGAATGCCACATAAAACTTATTCTCTGTAGCTCAAAACTAGTTCAAATCATTGTAAATTGACAAATTATTATGGGTTTTATGGGCCTTTGAAGAGAAAAATCATGGTAGTAAATTTTGTACAACATTTTCAACACATAGACAGTATTGTATAGGACAAATACTTCTTTTCGTTCTGGGTGATGGAGGCTTTCTCTAGTTTGCTTGCGATGTCTGACAGAACTTTACTGGCGTCATTAGCGAAGTCCAGATCTCTTACTTCCTGTGGGGAAACGGGTACCACCGCAAAGGCTTCTCTGTCCTCCTTAATAGACGCACACCCCACCTAAAACAAGATAGATCTATATATAGACTGGCATCACTGCAAAGGCCTCCCTATCCTTCTTAATAGAGGCACACCCCACCTAGAACAAGATAGATCTATATTTAGACTGGCATAAAGAAATATCTCCTGATAACCCATAATATTTTTTTATGACTTCTTTTTTTTCTTGAAAAACACATGTAAGTCTACAAATAATTCACTGCATATTCACCTGACAGTAGAATAATTTATGTGCTCATGTTATCTTCTTTCTGATTGGTTTATCTTTGTTGTAATTGAAGAGTAGACCCTATGTGCTGATCTTACCTTTTTTCTGATTGGTTTATCCTCCTCTTTATCTATAGCTATACTTGTAGAGTTATCTTACCTTTTTTCTGATTGGTTTATCCTCCTCTTTCTCTATAGCTATACTTGTAGAGTTATCTTACCTTTTTTCTGATTGGTTTATCCTCCTCTTTATCTATAGCTATACTTGTAGAGTTATCTTACCTTTTTTCTGATTGGTTTATCCTCCTCTTTATCTATAGCTATACTTGTAGAGTTATCTTACCTTTTTTCTGATTGGTTTATCCTCCTCTTTATTATATACCTAATGTGTATCACCCAATTTTACTATTGAATGTACGCTATCACGTGACGTCGTGATCCGATTTTCCGGTTCACCAACATTTTGTTTTCTGAATCCATATCACCACTCTCTGAAACTGATGACGTAGTACGCAGAAATATGACGTTATTTTTCTTGCGTGTTAAAAAGTCCCTTGTTATTATGCTTTGTTTAATGGATTAATATTATCCAATTTATCTCTAAAGGTTTATTTTAATACTTTCAGCCAGTTGTAAGTAGGGCTGGGACGATACCCAACTTAGCCGATCCGCTACATATCACGATACCTTAGGTGCGATACGATACATATCACGATACATTTGAAACCAAATAAAACTAGATATTTTTTAGAACATTTAATTACAGATTATAAAAAATAAACTAATTCAACAGAAACCCGACTTACTGCCACTGGGTTTTTGTTGATTTAACATAATCCGGCGTGTCTGACGCCATTCTGACGCTTGTATTTTGAATTCTGTATCACCAAGACGTTTGTACTTAATTTCTAATTGTTTAAACGTCTTGATGATACAGACTAAAGGACTAAAAATTTCGAATTCTAGAGCCCGGACATTTTTGGAAATTAAAAAAAAGTGCCGTCAGGTATCGTGATACTAAATTAGAGGAATCGATCCGTATATCGTCAAAGTGAATTCTGCGATGCATCGGTGCACCGGTGGATCGTCCCAGCCCTAGTTGTAAGGGGGTATATAATAAATTTATCATTATAACAGTAACTTGATCCGAAGAGCCGTTTCTCGTTGACAGGCGCGGATCATCAGATCAAACTCGACGCTTGGCGTCTCGTTTGATCTATGATCCGCGCCTGTCCTCGACGTGATACGACCCTTCGGATCAAGTTACTGTTATAATAATATATATTTATCTATAGCTATACTTGTAGAGTTATCTTACCTTTTTCTGATTGGTTTATCCTCCTCTTTATCTATAGCTATACTTGTAGACTTATCTTACCTTTTTTCTGATTGGTTTATCCTCCTCCTTATCTATAGCTATACTTGTAGAGTGGACCCAGGTGTTAGTACATAGATGATGGAGCCGGACATAGGAATTCCTACAAACAATTAGGAATATGTACAAGCTGGAAATATAACTTCATGTGCTCTTCAACATTAAGAAAATATTCAATATTTGTGAAATTTAACTATCTCAAACACTGTGGGTGAAGATCAAAAGCCTGACAAAATTTTCCATAGGATATGATTGGTCTTTCATATTAGGACTTTGTAGGATTTCATTGTAAAGTAATTTAAGGGTTTTTGAGAGAGAGCATAACAATCTGGAGTTGTCTTCTCCTAATTCTACCTTGGTACATAGGTGTCTCTGGTCAGTGATGTAGGATCCAGTTCAAATATGGTCGCCACATCGTGGCCATGGGGCACAGACACCAGGGTGAAGACGGAGTTTGTGGGGGGCCCTCGTAACTTACTCCTCATGGGGTCATTGGTAGGGTCCTTGTCAACCTACAAAGAAAAATAAAATAACCAATTAAACATTATCTGACTTTGTCATGATTCTCATTCAAAACTAACTCCTTTGTCATGATTCTCATTGAAAACTAACTCCAAATTTTCCAAATAAAGATTTTTTTTTTCCATTTTTTATTTCAATTTAAATTATTATTTCCAAATCTGTATTTTCAATTGTTACTGTTTTGGCTATAAAAATTAAACCATGAACAGAATTATGAATGAAGACTTGATCTTTATATTAGCCTAGCTGACCTCTGCTGCTAGGTACTGCCCCGTGGCCAGATGTTTGAATCTGAACAAGCTCATCCACTGCCCTGCTCCACCCCGACACGGATCATGCTGCACCACCTGTCACAGAAAAAAACGGTGTTCCTAAAACAGCTTATCTTAACAGGTTTTAAAATTCTACATAGATAACATAGTTATTTTAATATTATTTTTTTTATATAACAGTTGTACTTCCATATCTCAAACATCAATTTCTCAAATACCATGGATATGTCAAAGTTATTTGGTAGACGAAACCACTTATACTTTAGGCATTTTACCCTTGGTATCTCGAATCATCGGATATCTCAGTTTTACCTTGGTCTCATTGAGTTTGAGATAACAAGATTTGACTGCATATAAAACATGTATAAGCAGATCTAGAGTTCCTATCTTAAATAACACTCACCTTCTTCTAATAGGATCACCACCTATTACCAGAATTGTGGTGGTGACCGGTTTGACCTACCTCTACTTCCCAGAGAGCCTTGGAGCTGGTGGCGGTGGTAGCTGTGGTTCTTGCAGTGGCCCTCAGGAAAACATACTGCTGCTTCTTGTATTCATCCCCCGTCAGGAACATCTGCTCCTCTGCATGAAACAGTCTCACCACATCTCCCTGCAGAACAAATGAATGTATAATCATATTGATTCTATACTACAAAACACAAAGCCGTGCTATTACATTTTCTTTACACATTTATGAATTTAGCTGAGTTTTCCTTCATATTTTTACATATTGTTTGATCTAAATCTAAATTTTGCAGTACCTTAAAAATAATCTATATATTTTTAAAACATCATAAAAAAATTTAAGCTCAATTTTATATTACAACTGAGCTGATCAAGTTAAGGTAGCTCTACCCCTTTGAGGACATCCTCCATGTTTTCCTTAAAGTCCATAAACAAGGTCATTTTCCAGCAGGTCGAACAGTTCACAGAATTCACCTAAAAAATAATCCATACTTGTCAAAATATAAGAACAGGAACTTCCTAAGTTTTAATTTTTATATCAGCAATGCTTAAATAATGTTTTTTTTTCTGTATCTAATAATGTTATCTTTGTTCTTTTCTTTAAAAAAATAAGAATTCTTACTTTGAATTCTACAAGAGTAGGGTAAAACACTAATTATAAAATTAATCCTTTTCTGAATCAACACAATTATGTGGAGCTTTTAAAAAGCTCTTCATGTTTTTTTTAAATCTGATCTGGATACATTGTATGTAAAAATACAGAACACATCTTTGAATAAATATCAAAAAACAGAATCAATCTAATTAAATTTAGATGTTACATCCGCTCGAATACTCGCTACACTAACATCTAACAACATCCCATTGAGGGTCATATTCAAATTTGGAACGGCTGCTAGACAATTCGCTTCAACAATATACAATGATTTTGCCAGCGACGATTTGATTGGTTGATAGAATTTGACCTCAGACGTGACCTTTTATGGGATGTTGTTAGATGTTAGTGTAGAGAGTATGCGAGCGGATCTAACATCTAATTTTAATTAGATTGAAAACAGAGTATACATCCCTCATCCATGACATTTAAAGCAACAGAGGGAAATTCTGGACTTGCAAGAAATAAATCCTTAAAGTGGCATTGATTAATATCTTAACAAGCTGTGAAATCAAGAAATCTAGATCCACTCGGTATAGTATTTTAAACTCATTATGCAAATAAACACAGTAATTTTTTATTAATCTTTAGGTAATGTTTATAAATAAATTCTTACAAAGATTTAACTCATAATGACAACTGATGTGTTGTATTTTATCTCTGAGTATATGCAAGAAAATGACAAAGGAGAGGAAGATCAACCCCACCAGCAAGGGAGATACTCAAGATTTTAAGAAAACAGAGCACCATTTTTTCTCGTTCATCTGGATTCATTCCAACTATGATAGCATTCACCTGATGGTGGAAATGTACAGTGTTATGTTGTAATTATACCTGGACAAAGACATTACTGACAATTATAGTCATCTTTATCTTACTGATAGGAATTTGAAACCATTTTCTGCATGCCAAAAACAATAAATTTTATCATGAAGATATTCAAAACAAAAAATTATCTGCAAAAGAATAACATAATTAAAAAAAAAGTTAGAGCAGATATTCAATCATAAGATAATTCTCCAATCCTTACCACCCACCCCCTCCGATAAATGATAAATGTGGACCCACCCAGCCACTCACCCTCTCCGATAAATTATCTCCTTATATCTGAAGTAACTTGTCTCTTTTGATCATAGACCAAGTCAACTAAAACAGTCATGTCTACTGACCAGACAAGTCAGACAGTCAAGTCTTCACTGACAACAGGCCTGGTCAGCCCTGACACTTCTATCCATGATGATAGTCCTGTCTACTGACCAGACAAGTCAACAAATAGTCAACAGACAGTTGTGTCTACTTATCACAAATCAATACAGGCTTGTCTACTAATGATGTGCATGATGTGACAGTTAATTATACTGACCTCCTTACAGCCCTGCTTGTCTGGGAGGTCGTAGTTACTGGCATGGAGGGGCTGGGCGGCGTTCACCGGCTTCAGAACCACCTTATCCCCGACCACCACCTGTAAGACAATTAATAAACTCAGTATAGTGGTGTATAAGTCACAACTCAGAATGATCAAAGGGTTATTTACAACAATGTAAAAAATTTTTTAGTCTTTCATTAGGATGTCAGCTGACTGTCTGTAAACTGTAGGTCACAAAATTTTCATGACACCTTATTTTCGCGAGATGGTCATTGACTCTTGAATAGCGAGACAAAATTTTCACAAATTGTGGTACATTTAATTGCTATATTTAATCTCAATGAAAATATTATAAGCAAGAATTAAATTTTCACTAGCACACTGTCTCGTGTAAATACGCCAAAAAAAGTTCTGGCAAATAAAGGAATTACAGTGAATAAAAATTGATTTAGAGTATAATAAATGCCTCTATGTACTAATGTTGGAATCTTTTACTTAAAGCATCCTCTAACAGCTCTATACTTGCCGCGTCCCCTGACTGTCGGAGTTTGTAGAACGGCTCTATACTTACCGCGTCCCCTGACTGTCGGAGTTTGTAGAACAGCTCTATACTTACCGCGTCCCCTGACTGTCGGAGTTTGTAAAACGGCTCAATGTAGAACCAGGACCCCTCATTCCCCTGGATGTCCAGTGTCACCCTCATGGCATTTTTCTCCAGCAGGGCGGGGAGTCGTTTGTTAACGGTCAGGTATTTGTTACTCTTGAGATGTAATAACTGTTCAAACAAATCAACAGGTACTTTGTAATTGTCAGGCTATTCAATTTTACATACTAAAATTTATATTCATTTAATGCTTTAATGAATCAAGTGTATTAATATTCAAAACTTTTTTTTTATCTTATTCCAATTTGACATGTTTAAATCTTATAATACATAATACTTATAATACATAAAGCAGAAACTGAAATGAAAAGAAGCAACATGTACAATTTTATCTTTCTTTGATTATCTAACATGATACAATACATGAAAATTCAGACTTGGAGAAAGCATTTCTAGGTGACAGATTATGTAACTTTATTGTTTATGTAGTTATACAGCTTCTTCATTAGGAATTCACACATCCAGGTTTTTGCACCTTCATTACCCCAACATAAAAACAACTTTTTTTCTTGGCAAAATAACAATTATTATTTTATAATGTTGTCCAAGTGTGTAAAATGTTTCTGAGATTTAACAGTCTTCTCTTTTATTTAATTGTAAACGCCAATGTTATGTTTATTTATAAAACTTGGCAGATCACCTAGCTATATAATATTCAAATTTAATCCTAATAAACAAAATTGACAGAGTGTGAATTACACAAATCATTTTTGTGCATTTGAAACCTTTCTTCTGAGCTGTATTTTGCAGACAAGCTCAGGTTACTTAACAACACAGATAGAACTATAACAGAACCTGCCCACAGCGCTACCTTCCCTCATGTTATAGGTGTGGTGTTACTTGAACTTTTAGATGAATTACATTTTTATTTGTATATAGGAATACACTACTTGTATCTGCTTAGTATATCTCAGATTCCTCGTTTCATGCAGGCATTATCAATTGATTCAGTTGTTAAAAATTGCTTTTAAAAATTTACCGGGTTATTGATAAATGCTTGACTGTAAGAATTGTTCCCATCAAGTTACATATGGAAGGTTACCTGTATAACATTCCCGTACTGTACGGTATTCCCCAGCTGTTTCTTGTACTCTGTCTCATTCTGTTTCTTTTCTAATTCCGCTGCACTCTACAATCAATAACCAGATAACATAAAATTGTTTTCCATTTCAGATGTACTACAGTTTGAAAAGGACATTGTGGCAGTAAAGAATTTACTTCTTTTATTTTAAACAAAGATTTTAACTGACTGTTAAAAGTAAATCAACTGAATGCTGAAAAACTGAAGGTTGGGGGAGAGGAGGGGGGCGAGAGGGGGCCGGGGGGAGTGGGTAGCTCTTATAGTAAGAGTCTGATGAAACATATTGAGATAACGAACAGTATTCAAGCTCTAAAGTCTATAAAACAATAGAAAATAAGATCAGAGTAAACAAGGACCCCCCAAACATCAGGGGTGGGATCAGGTGCATGGAGAAGAGAGTATCCCTTTCCAGCCGGTCACCCGCCATGTGCTCCTTTTCGTGATTGGGAAATAACGGAAAAATCTGTTGTCAGTTCAGTGTTAAAATAATGGACAAATGATAAAGTATGAAAAAGTCAGTCAGCATTTGACTCAATGAGAAATTGTATTTCCAAGGTCATTGTATGGACCATTAGGGGCTTATTATTTCACAGTCATAATATCATATCAAAGCCACTTTCTCCAAACCAACACCAAACTGAAGGGGATTCAACATACCCTAATCTTTTCACTGTGAATGTTTTAAAGGTGGTCATATGATATATAAATCAAGCAAGTAAACATTTTTTTTTTCTATATACATGTATTTTCTCTAAAAACAGATTTTTAGTCAAACTCAGTGTATTTAAAATACATTTCTATTTGAAATGCGAGTCTTAAACTTATGCAACAAACCACATTATCACAAAATAGGACAGAGAGATGTTATTACGTGGAGTTTTTTCAGCAGGACTGTGTCAGAGCAGGAAGTAGTCGAGTTTGTCCCGGACCGCTGGGCCTGCCAGAACTGCTTCTGAGCCGAGTACCGATTATTGGGGCAGATCTTGAACAGGCAGTCTGAAAAATAAAATATAACCCAGTGCTGGTTATATTGAGTAAGATATTGAATACATGTAGGCAATCTGTAAAATAAAACAGGTCTGACGAGAACATGCAGAAAAATATACAGGTATCACACCATCAACGTGATCAATTGATAAAGAAAAAGATTAATTTAATTCTTACTTATGTGCTCTTAAATACTAAAACTGATGAACAATTCGGTTCATATGAACCTGAAGCACATTTGCAGCTCTGTTCTGCAGCATGTTGATTCTTATTTCTTATATCTGCATGTACATGTTTCCACATGCTTCAATATAACAGGTGTATGAAAATATTAACCCTTTTCATTTCCCAGAAATCTTTGAGATCTCTTGTTTGAGAATGCAAGGTATCTAGGATATTTTACCAGCCGGAAAACCTTATTTTATATAAATCTTTAAGAATTAAATTGTTTGAATGATGTAACATGCATTATAAAACATTTCTTTTCAATTTACAATAAAATGTTGTTGCTATGTAACTTGATCATGTGGTCTTCTTCTTTAAATTAA